CCTCTCTGAGGGAGGACTAAGCTGTTCTTCCCTTTGAAATTAGATGCAGCCATGTGACTTGCTTCAAGCAGAGTGATGTGTGACACTTCCCGGAAGAAGCTGTAAAGCCAGTGTGCTGTTTGCCACACTTTTTCCCTCTTGGTAAGCACCAATGTTCTATGTGAATATTCACTGCCCCATCAGCCTGGGACCCAGAGTGAGGGCAACATTGATGGCAAACAAAGTTCCCAGCTAACTCTTTGATATAGTTTGGATGTTTGTCCTCTCCAGATCTCACGTTGAAATTTGATCCCCAATGTTGGAGATGGGGCCTGGTGGGAGGTGTTTGGGCTTCAGGAACAAATCCCTCATGAATGGGTTGATGTCATCCCCTAGGTGATGAGTGAGGTTTTGTTTTTTCTTGTTTGTTTGTTTTTGTTTTAGTTTTTGAGACGGAGTTTCACTCTTGTCACCCAGGCTGGAGTGCAATGGCGCCATCTCGACTCACTGCAACCTCGCCTCCAGGGTTCAAGCAATTCTCCCACCTCAGCCTCCTGAGTAGCTGGGATTATAAGCATGCGCCACCATGCCTGGCTAATTTTGTAGTTTTAGTAGAGACGGGGTTTCTCCATGTTGGTCAGGCTGGTCTCGAACTCCCGAACTCAGGTGATCCGCCTGCCTCAGCCTCGCAAAGTGCTGAGATTACAGGTGTGAGTCACTGCGCTTGGCTGAGTTTTTATTCTATTAGCTTATGTAAGAGCTCATTGTTTAAATATTGTGACTTCCCTCCTCTCCCATGTTATGACTGCTCCCCTCTGCCTTCCACCATAATTGGAAGCTTCCTGAAGCCCTCACCAGAAACAGACACTGGTACCATGCTTCTTGTACGCCCACAGAACCATGAGCCAAATGAACCTATTTTCTTTATAAATTAGTCTCCAGTATTCCTTTATAGCAATGTAAAGCAGATAAATATACCTTTGCTGGGCATGTAGCCCAAATGAGAGAATAAACACTTGTTATTTTCAGCCTTTGAGATATTGGAGTTACTTGTTATAACAGTACAATCTAGCCCAGGCTGACTGATACAGCTGTCTTAGTCTGTTTTGTACTTCTATAGAAGGAATACCTGAGGCCGGGCAATTAATAAGAGGTTTATTTATCTCATTACAAGAAGCATGACATTGCATCTGCTCAGCCTCTGATGAGACTTTTGTGCTATGTCAGGATATGGTGGAGAAGGTCAAAGGGGAAGCTAGCATCAGCACAAAAGGGCCAAACTGGACAAGTGTCCTGGCTTTATGACAACGCACTTTCATGGGAACTAATCCATTCCCCTCAGAACTTACTCACTAGCAAGAGAACAGCACCAATCCATTCACGAGGGATCCACCCCCATGACCCACACCTCCCACCACTGCCACACTGGGGGTCAAATTTCAACATGAGATTTGGTGAGGACAAACAAACCATATCCAAAGCATAACAGCCATCTTACAGGCAAATCAAGGATATGGACTCTGCCATTTAATGTACCTATTGTGAGCCTATTGTGCATTAAATACCATGCTAGGTTCTACGATTACAGATAATTTAGATTTGGCACCAGCCCTCAGAGGGTTTATAGTGCAGAAGGCATATAAATAAACGATATCACTGTTGTAATTGCTACTATTAACAAAGGGTACTATGGAAGGGAGGAGTCCACGAATCCTGTATCAGTCAGGGAACCAGCGAGAAATGGCATACTCAGCTAAAATATTTGAAGGGATATTTTAATACAGGGACTATTTTGGAGGTGTGGGCAAGGTTAAGGTAGGGGGGTGGGTCAACAGGAATGTTGAGGCATCCAAGGACAATCAGCAGAAGAAAGCCAATCTCACCCCAGTCTGAAGTGAAGAAACAAGTGTTAGAAATAGTGTTACTGGACTAAGTGGGAGGTGGAATCATGGCAGAGGGGCCAGATGACACCAACTACAGCTGTAGCCAGAGCAAAACAGGGAGGGATCAGGAAGAATAGATATTCCAGCTTTTCTCTCCTCCTGCTCTCTGATCTCCCGCCATGCTCCCTATTGGCAAGATCCACCTGGAAACCAGACATCAGTGCAGCTGGGTGATGCCATCAATGCAGTTGGTAGAAGTCAACCTCCTGGTCCTCAGAGCAGGGTGGAGAAGGATCTGGAGGGACAAATAAAGACTATCCTCAACAAGGTCCTCAAAAGAGAAATGATAGGAATAGTTGATACAATATTTTTTGAAACTTTATTGCTTCATTAAAATGCTTAAAATTGAAAGGAGAGTCCACAGTTATAGAATAGGGGATAGGTCTGAATGAATATTCAGATGACTGGACACTTGAGGCTCCTATTAGAAGAGACAATGGACATACGGCTGGAAATCATATCCTGGATCTTTTTTTGTTGGGGGGAGTTGGGAGATGAAAGTCAAATGCAGAGAGAATGGGTGGGGAATAAGGAGAAACATCTTCCAGTCAGCTGGAGACCAGATCACTATAGATAAATTGTAAGGTGGGAATTGTATCATATTTTTCTAACCTAGTCTCAAAAGCCATGCAGTATCACTTTTACACTGTTACAAACAAGTTACAAACTGACCCAGATGCAAAGGGAGGAAAGTTGATTCCACCCCTTCTGGAGAAAGCAAAGTTCTATCATAGTGCTGAATAATACAGTAGCCAGTAGCCACACATGGCTGTTTATACTTCAATTAACGACAATTTAATAAAATTAAAAATCCAATTCTCAGTCACATTAGCCACATTTCATGTGTTCAACAGCTATGTGAGGACATGGAATATCTCCATTATTGCAGAAGTTTCTATTGGACAACACAGCTCTAGAACATATGAGACAGGAAATATTGTTGCAGCCGTCTTGCAAATACAGTCTGCCACCAGGACCTAGGCAAACCAAATTGTATTAGAGAAGATGGTGCAGTGGCTCACAAGACATTGTGTATAAGAGTTGGCAATAACTGCTGCTGTTTATCATTAAGAGAGTACTTGGGTTAAAGTCTTAAAGAGAGGATGTATATGCCCAGAGGGCTAAAACTAGGGCCAATAGGAGGGCAACACAAAAGAGAGATTTCTAGGATAGTATGTTCCATAAGCCTCTTTGAGCATGTGACAAAAAGCCACCTCTCCCCAGGGGAAAAAAAAAGTATACAGTATTATACATTCAAGTTCAGGAGTCTACAGAACCCTCCAAATCAATCCATGGATTTGCCACATCAGAGCCCTACTGCAGGCTGTGAGCCCTTGGAAGTATTTCCTTATTCCCAGCCATTAGCAGAGGATTTGGCCCTGATGACACTTAATCACTATATGTTGACAGAAAGGGGCACTTTTTTTGCTGAATACAAGTAAGAACTTTAATAGGTGGGGAGACATTTAAGTGGAGCAGGCAACATCAGGAAGCCAGAAAGTTTCCCAGCACTAGAGGAGTCCAAGTAGATGTGTGATAATATGGAGAGGATTTCGGCCTTCAAACATAACTGAGTAAGCCTTAGTCTTGCCTTGAGTCTTGCCTTGAGGACCCAAGTTCTACAAAAGATAACAGTAAAGCCCAAGTGAAGAGATCATCACATACAATTTGAAGAGGGTAGAATCTAGAGACGCTTCATGGAGCTAGTGACATTCTTGGATCAAGTTCATATGTCAGGTGGCTTCTTCCCTGAGGTTGAGTCCTCTCTAGAAGGCTCTTCAAGCCTCATATCCACCCAAAAAAATTTTTTTATCCTTGTCCCCATGCTCAGTTTCCCTGATAAATCCAGACGTATCTAAACTTAGCAGTGGACAGAGCTTGAACAGTCCTCAGTTGGTCTTCAGGCCCCTTGTAAACAGACCTCTGGCATACTTGTCGTATCCATTTCAAACATATCCCAGATACACTTTCATCCCCCACAATGTATTTTCTGAATTTTGAGTATCATTGTGAGAAACTCATATTGAATCTAAGTCTAAAATCATCTCAGCTTTTCTGACAGTCTCACTGCATTTGTAAAAGTCAGTTATATTCGGTTATTCTTTCCTCTCCCACTATTCGGTCAATTCTTCAAGATCAGGAACTATATCCCCACTTCCTAAGCATACACTTGGCAGCCGTATGTTCCAGCCGGTGTTTTATTCTTGCAATTCTACAGGGATAGGGTTTTGGATACAACAGGCTGGTTTGAGCATAATTATTCTTAGTACATAAGCTCATCATTGTGTGTGTTATCCAAAATCTTAAAGGACTACAGCACTCTACTTTTTACAGACAGGAAGAGGCACGCCCCACCATTCCCAACACACATTGAATCTTGACTGAATGACTGTAGAAAGCAGATTGCCCTGGGTTTGAAACCCACCATCAGCTGTGTGACTTCGAGAAAATTACCTGGTCTCCCTGAGCCTCAATGTCCTCAATTGCAAAATGGACATTCTATTCATACCAGGATTGTTTTAAATAACATTTAGCATGGTGCTTGGCGTATAAGAAGCATTTCAAAAATGTTGTCCACTGATTCTGTGACTTCCTCTCATATACTTTTTTTTTTTTTCATGGAGAAGGCAAGATTGTTAATATCCTTTTGGGGCACACCTGGAGAAGTATATCTTAAAAGACCTGTTTTACAACCACAATCTGCACTATGGTGCACTGAGTGAGGTGAGTCATGCAAGTGTAGGATCGATCTTTTTATTTAGAACGTTGATATTTCACGGACTTCTGAAAATCTATTACTATTTTTTGAAATATTAAAAAATTATAATCGGAGTTTTGCTGGCACCCTCTTAAATTTCGCACCCAAGGCAGTGCCTCATTCATTTGGCCCTTGTCCTGTCCTGCCTACTGTCACACCACGACCTAAATCTGAGAGTAGAGCAGCCAGAAAAACTGGAAGGAAAAGAACCCTGTTCCCTACCTGGGTTTACCCTTCTGCCCTAGAGCTCTACCACGGCCCAGGAAAGTGGGCACAGGGAGTGTACTACAGCTCCCACAAGGCCACGCGGGACGGCGTCCTAGCTTATTGGCTGCGCCGTCCCGTCCTCCTCCCGCCCCTCCCCGCCCCTGCTGGGATGACCCCGGGGGCGAGTGCCCGGCCAGTGTGCTCCCGAAGCCGGCTGTGGGCTGCGGCTCTGCTGGGATCAGGCTTCATGGCGGCGCAGCCGCTGTCCCGGATGCTGCGGCGGCTCCTGAGGTCCAGCGCCCGGAGCTGCAGCTCAGGGGCTCCAGTGACACAGCCCCGCCTCGGGGAGTCCGCGCGAGCTGCCTCGGAGGTGAGCCCACCCCGCCCGTGTCCACAGCTTCCCGGGGCGGGAGTGGACCGGGCACACTGCCCTTTTCCCCCAGTAGCTCCCGGCCTGTCTGCTTGCCGCTTCTAGGAGGGACCCCTTGGCACTCCTCAGTGGAAGGATGTTCTCCAGATGCACCTCCCGGTCTCACCCGCTAGCCCAGCGGGAGAGGCTCCTGGGAGTCCCGCTTCAGAACCTCCCTGCCCCCCAGCCACGCCACCACTGCCGGCTCTGAGCTTGGCCAGAAATTGGGGTAAGCAGAGGACTGGGACTTTGGGTCCAGTGAGATATCTTACTGGTACCCTTCAGCCTTGCCTTGCACCCACCCTCTTTCTTAAACATTTTCCCTCCCTAGCCCCAGAGCTCAGAGATCAGGTGTCCCTGTGACACCTGCTTCATAGTGTGACTGACTAAACATGTCACCTCGGTGTCACCAACCGTGAGTTGTTACTGTAGTCCCAGGGCTCTGTAACTCATCCTTTGCTGACTCTCCTTGTCTCATTTTTATTAACCTTGGGAGGGTTCAGCCAGAACAGAGCAGGACTGGCCTCTTACAGGTTAGAAATTAATATCTCTGACTTTAGGGTTTCGAGAAGATCCCTCTGACCTTGACAGCACCCCTCAGAGTGTTTCAAGTCATGAAAAGTTTTAGGTTTTGGTTGTTCTTCTGCTCAGGTGGTTAGGGAATAATTTGAGGGGAAAAGCACCTCTTTTTCATTTAGTGAAACCTCTTTTCGGTACCTTGCTAGTCGTTTTTTCCCATATCCCAGAACTAGGCTTCCTGTCCTGGGATTCATAAGATCACTGCTCCCTCCTCCCCCATATTGCTCAATGACTTCCGCCACATTTGCTTTCCCCAAACCTAAGCCCCTCTGGGATCCTCAGATAAGCAGGCCCATGGTTGGGAAGTGAAGACTTTTTAGTATCCTCGAACTCTTGAACATCGTTGAAGAGATAGTAAAGCCAAGATGGCTGAGAGATCTTTAAAGAATTCAAGAAAAGGGGACGTTTCTTCTCCACTCCCCCAACCCCCAGTTTATTTTGTACTGGTGTTTCATGAGAGAACCTGTGTTGAGTGGCTCACATGTGGAAGCCGTTAGTCCTCACTAAGCCATGTAAGGTGAGGAGAGTTTGTATGTTCAGGTGAGGGGGCTAATCGAAGTTAACTTTCCTCCAGTCGCAGAGCTGTAGAGGGCAAGGAACTCTAATGCTTTTCTGTCCTCCCTGTGTGGAGGCCAGGGAGAGAACCTGCTCCTGTCCATCCCTTTACACTGTGAAGGGAGGGGTAATGTGGCAGAAAGGAGAACATAGACTCTGGGGCAGCCCCATCCCTTATTAGGGGATTCACCAAGTCCCCTTACCCCTCGGTGTCTGTTTTCTCATCTGCAAAGTGAGAATAAAAGTGTCTACTTCATAGAATGTCACAGGGATTAAAAGAGTTAACATATGTTAATGTATATACTTAGAACAAAGCTTAGCCCGTGTAAGTGCTGTGTTATGTAAATGTTGGTGGTAATTACTATTATCCATGCTGCCACTGGCACATGCTGTGTCCTGTGAGTCCCCTCCCATCTGGACTTGTTGGATAACTATTCTGTCAACTCACATTAAATCCTGGACATCTCTTAGGGTTATCTTCAGCAGACTGGGAGTTCCCGAGGGCTGGGTGCACCTCTGCCTTTCTATCCCCACAAGCGCTTAGCACAGGGTTGTGCAGGCAGTGGATTCAGCCAATAATTGTAGCTGCTTGAAACTTCGAGTCCCGTGGCATAGTAGACCACACTGGACAGGGACTCCCATGTTTTCACCTGCCAGTTTCGCCTCCAATTTCACCTGGCTCCTGGGGCTGTCACTTCCCTTTGCTTCATGTTTATAAAATAAGAGGGCTGGGCCAGCCCATCGTAAGATAGGGGAGGGCACAGAAATCTGTCTTGAAGAGACTCTAAGGGGAAGCGAGTCTGGAAGTGGATCTGTTCTGCTCATCTCTAAAGCTTGCCAGTTGGGGTGGGGACACCTTGAACCCCTTCTTGCAGGGTCTGTCTCTCCCAACACGCCCACACAGGGCTCTGGTAGTCTGGTTTGGGATGGGAGGTGCTTGGAGAGCTAGGATGGAAAGCCACTGGACATTGTTTGTGTGGCAGGGTGAGGATGTGAGGGAGAGAAGCGAGGTGTAAGTGGGAGCTGGCTGTATGGAAAGGTGGCCGTGAGCTGAGTTCAACAACAGGTCGAGTAGCTGCTATATATGGAAAGGGGTAGTGTGTGGGTCAATGGGGAGGTGGGTGGAGGAGACCCAGCGACCTGTCAGCCTGTGTCTGAGGTGGCCCAGACAATCTTTGCAGGGTTCAGCCCCACCTGGGAGTGCTGTACCCCTCTTTCTCCCTCTGAGGCTCCATAAGGGCTTTGTTGGGCAACAATGAAGCCTGCTGCCTGTGGTGGGGGAAGCAGGGAGAGTGAGTCTAGGCAAGGCAAAGGCACCCAGCTGTTCAGGGGGCCAGAAAAAACAAATGCTGGCTAGGGGTTAGGCTGCAGGGAAGTGGGTGTGGGTGAAGGTAGGAGGAGTACAGCAGGACCTCGTGAGGGAGAATGAGGGGGAGGAGGGAAAGAGGGCTTTTCAGGGGGTCATCTTGACTTCCAATCTGCCCAGCTCCTCAAAATCCATGTTTCAGCGAAATGTGACTGTCCTTGTCAGAAGCCATAGGTGTAAAGATGTCACACTTAGGGTGGGAATGAGGGGAGGGGGAAGGAGAATCAGGCTAGGCTAGGCTCTTTGCTGGGTCCTCTCATTTAAAAGAGATTAATTTTAAGAGGCCCTTAGTATACATCATCCCAATAGCAGGATAAATCAGTGCCACTGATACTTAGATTCGGAATGTGCTTTTTTTCTCCTGAATAACCCTGCTGCTCTGTTTAGACTTTGGAGCTATGTGAGGGCTAGCCTTTAGCAGTCAAATAGATGCCCAAGATTAGTGACTAGTAGAGGAAGGCACCTTGAGGGCAGGGTCCCGCTTTAACGCCTTTGTCCCACCCTTCCCCACCCCCTTCACCCCACCCCAATCTGCATTGGGTAGACATGAGATGACCAGTAGTGTCTGGCAGGCTGCCTGGTGCCTGCTTATTAGCACACCAGTATTGGTGGTCCTGGGGATGCTCAGACCCCACGTGGGTGGTGTGGCAGCAGCTTTGGCCATCTGCTGTTAGTAGGGTTGGAAGGCCAGGATCTTGGAAGGGAAGGGAAGCTGACAAACTAGAAAAACTGATCACAGCACACAACGGTGTTCCTCCACGGATCACTGATTGGAAACTTCTGTGCCAGGAACTCCTCCAGTTGAGTTAGGTTGGATTATTATTTCCACGGCATAGATGAGGAAACTAAGGTTTGGAGAATTTAGGTGACTTGCTCAACAGCTAGACCAGGCTTGTAATATAGGCTCACCTACTCCAAATCCTGTGCTCAGAACCACAACAACTCGCCCTGGATTCAAATAGCACCTAGCGCTTGGCGTCACTAGGCTGATGGTTCTCAGCCCTGGCTGCACAGCTGAGGCACTAGGTTAAGCTAGAATCTTTGGGACGGGGCTCTGTCATCAGTCCTTGAAGCTCCTTGAGTGATTTTGATGTGCTGCCAGGGTTTCAAACCACTGTACCAGGTTAAACCATTTTGACAGTAGAGACCAGCCGGGAAATGATTACCCCCATGTAACTGGGTTTTGCATATACGACCTTTCTGTTTAGGGACAGGACTATTTGTTCATGTGATTCAAAATGTACCAACATCCTGTGCTAGACACTGGGGATACTGAATCAGGCAGGATGACTTCTCACAGAGAGGAAACAGGCCGGGCCAGGCTGGGACCCTGGGAATATGATTCGTTTAGGGCTTCCTACTACTTCTGACATGTCCCAGCCCTCCTGAGCAAGCAGAGTTACTGTCTACTCTCCTGTAATTCCCTCTGAATCTTGGGCTCCTTTGACTGGTGGTGATATTTTTTTCCTCCAGGAGATTTAAGGGACAGGGAAAAAAGTAGAAGAATGAAAGTAGGGCATGCAGTGTTAGAGGAGAGAAGATGCAGGAATGAGGCTCGTTAATATCTAAGTAATGAGTTTGCATTGCTGGCAAGGTGAGAGTGTGTGTGTTTAGGAGGCTCGATTCAGAATGGTTGGTACACATAGGGTCACAAAAGTTCTTAAAAGTGAAATCTGACCAGCCTCTCCCATTGCCAGAACAAAAGCACTAAATTCCATTCTTTTTTCGAGAGAGTCTCGCTCTGTTGCCCAGGCTGGAGTTCAGTGGTACAATCTTGGCTTACTGCCACATCTGCCTTCTGGGTTCAAGCGATTCTCTTGCCTCAGCCTCCCGAGTAGCTGGGATTATAGACTCCCGCCACCACACCCAGCTAACTTTTGTATTTTTCAGTAGAGATGGGGTTTCACCATGTTGCCCAGGCTCGTCTCGCACTCCTGACCTCAAGTGATCTGCCCTCCTCGGCCTCCCAAAGTGCTGGGATTACAAGCGTGAACCACCACACCCAGCCCCTAATTCCATACTTGATTGCTCCATCACACTGCTTGCGCTTGAATTTCTGCTGAATCACGCTCCTTGGTCCTCTCACCTCCCAATTATTTGATGTATTTTGACTCCTCCCCCATCCAGCCACCGCATCCCCCCAACATGTTAAGACTGGGTTCAGTGGGGTATCTTGGCAAGTGAAGAGGCAGAATCTGGGGTGACTAACATGACTGAATTGCAAATAGCTGTTGATGAAAAAGAAGGCACAGCACGGCAGTACATCCAGATTCCCAGGTATCTCATCTGGACTCTGGTGGCTGATGGAATTCTTGATTATGGAGGGCCCCCGCCCCACCCCTGAGGCTGTCTGTGGAAAGGCAATGGGACGAGTTGGAGTTTTCTCCGTCACACCGCAGGGAGGGAGGAAGTGACTGTTGTGAGTATAGCAGACTGCAGTTAGAGAAGTGACTGCTGCTTACTCCCCACAGGATGGTGAGCAGGGCTTCTCAGAGGAGGTGGGAAATTCTCCTGGGATGGGTAGAGTGAGGAATGTTTTATGGGCCCAGAAAATCAAGAGCAGCCTCACACACACTCTCATGTCTCTTATCTTTGAACCATTCAGTGGCTCTTGACCCAGTCAAGGGCTGCCGATGAGAATTACCTGGAGAGGTTGAAAACATAACAGCTTCAGAGTTCCATATTTAGTCAGTCTCCACTGGAATCTTTTTTTAAAGTTCTCCAGATGGTTCTAATGTGCAGCTGGAGCCGAGGAACTTACTGAAGCAAATACTTCTTCCTCCTAATGTAGGCATAGTTGTGCTGGACCTCTGGAGGGCCGGAGGCCTTCTACTCTCCATCATAATTTTAGGTGTTCACCTACCATCTTCCAATACCACCACTACCACCCGGCCCCCGTCTTTACTCCTAGCAAGACAACCTTAGCCTATAGCTGTATTCTTATTTTACAACTGGGAAAGCAGGCCTGGAGAAGTTAAGGGACTTTCACAGTGTGCCAGGTCATACCTGCTGCAGAAACCAGGGTTTCTTGTCCCCATTCCAGAACCTTGTCTGTAGATCTCATGCATGACTTCCAGGGTTGTGATTTTTTTTGTCTCAAATATTCTAGAGAAGTGACTTCTACCCACCCTAGGTGTCATCCTCCCTATCTTCTTAGACTCTCTCTGTGTGATAGAAGGGAGGAATTTAGAACCTGGAATCCGAAGACCTGGATTTGAATCCCGCTTCTGCCGAGGGTGTTCTTGGACCCCATCCAAGCCTTAGTTATAATAATCCCGTGTGGAGTGGGTGTGGGAATGAAACAGAATGTTCTTTGGAAACTTTAAGATGCTTGGTAAATGTTACTTCCTTGGAGCAATTATCTCATCAGCATCTATCAGGACCCAGGTGGTACTCTCCAAGGACTGATACGTCAAGGGGAGATGGATCAAACTCGTTCAGACTTGTACATGGGAAAGGGTGAAGCTGGCTCGCTCCTTTCTCTCTGCAGGACGGGTTTGGGCCTTGCTTGTGGCCTTCAGCAGTGTCTTCCCATTTATGCGCGAATGCTGGAGATCATGGGTGCAGAATCCTTTTTTTTTTTTTTTTTGGCACTGGCCAGAGTGAAGAATAAGGGCTAATAGATTCCCCCACACCCTTGCTTCCACATTGCTGCCCAGCCAGAAATCCTCCCAGCAGAGATCACCACCCGCCCCCCCCCCCACCCCCGAGCTGAACACTTAAGGGGTGGGTCTTTCTCCTCAAGCTCATTTTTCAATGAGAGGGACAATCCTAGCTTCCCCGACATGGCAGAGCCCAAACATGTGGAAGGGTTAGAAGCTCCGCACAGATGTCAGAATAAGGGAGGGGGCAGGTGGTTCTCCTTGCGCCTCTCCCCAGCCCGGTAGCAAGGGCCCATGCTTCCTCCCTGCCCTGTCTTTGCAGGAGCTGTCCAGGCGGAGGCAGTTCCTGCGGGAGCATGCGGCCCCCTTCTCCGCCTTCCTCACAGACAGCTTTGGCCGGCAGCACAGCTACCTGCGGATCTCCCTCACGGAGAAGTGCAACCTCAGATGTGAGTCACCTTCCTGGGCCCCCTCTGGGCTGGTGTCCCTCTGCCCAAGCAGCCTCTGAAATCTCCCCGTGCCTGGAAATCCTCCTGAATCTTCCAGTTCTGCTTTCTAACTTCCTCACCCGCTACCCCTTGCTTACCAGGCCAGGTGGGCTTCAGGGGTAAGATAGGGGTCAAGGCTGAGTTGTATGATTGTAGAAGCTGTGTCCTACTTGGGATTAGATTTGAAAACAGAAATGCAGTTGGATTTAGAATTAAGATTGGGTCTTGGACCTCTCAGTCTTCAGGGGTCCTTCCTTCTGTTTCCCTGTAGTTCCCGAAGTCCAGGACATGACCAGGGGTGGGGTGGTGGACATTATATAAACATGTGAAGTAGACAGCCATGCCCATGCCAGCACTGCTGACTTTGGAGGTGCCCCTGTCCCGTGACAAATCATCCAGGACCAGGCTGATAACAAAGAGGCCTCATTTCATAATCCTTGCAAAGATTGCTCTGGACCTGTAGCCACTGCTGGAGGGACTTCCAAAGTTGATCTTCCTTCTCTTTTCCTTCCGTCCCCCTTTTCTCCGTCGCCCTTTTCTCCGTCGCCCTTTTCTCCGTCGCCCTTTTCTCCGTCCCCCTTTTCTCCGTCCCCCTTTTCTCCGTCCCCCCTTTCCCCGTCCCCCCTCCCCCTTTCCCCGTCCCCCCACTCTTCCCTTCCTCCCCACTTCCCCCTTCCCCTTCTACCCTCTTTCCCCCCTTCCTCTTTCTGCCTTCTACCCTCTTTCCCCCGTCTGCCTTCCACCCTTCTCCCCTTCCCCTCTTCCTCCCTTCCGCCTGCCCAGGTGCACTCAGCCCAGGAAGTGAGGCCAGGCTCTGCCCTCAGCCTACTTCATCTCTAACCCATGCCCTCGGCCTCCCACTGAGGGATGTTATGGCCAGATTGTGTGTGTTGGGCATAGGGAAGGGTGTTAATGTTTTAGAAATGAGAAAGGTCAGGCCTGGGGAGATGCTGGTCTGGGGTTTTTTCACCTCAGGTTTAGTGAGGTCTCTGCTCATGTCCAGATGTGTTTGAGAAGACTGGCCTGATGGAGAGTTGGGGAGTGGAGGCATCACAGGGCTATGGCCATGCCTGTTTCCTCCCTCCACATCCCCATTCATCCTTCCTTCAGGTCAGTACTGCATGCCCGAGGAGGGGGTCCCGCTGACCCCCAAGGCCAACCTGCTGACCACAGAGGAGATCCTGACCCTTGCCCGGCTCTTTGTGAAGGAAGGCATTGACAAGATCCGGCTCACAGGCGGAGAGCCGCTCATCCGGCCAGACGTGGTAGACATTGTGGGTGAGTTGGACGAAAGTCATCGCCACTCCTCCCAGTGCCGCCTCATCCGGCTGGACACTGATGTCATTGTTAACATTGGCAGCTGACATTCATTTAGCACATGACACTCACTTGGTCCCTCAACACATGCTGAGACAGGTGCTATTATTCTTTCCATTTTTGATGAGAAAATGAGGCTTAGGTTGAATAACTTGCCCAAAGTCATGAAGCTCGCAAATGCCAGACCTCAGTAGCTTGTTGTCACATTGAGACCAAGGTCCTCACCAAGAGGCCCACGTGACCTGGCTCTTGCTGACCTCCATAACCCTTGCGGGCTTCTCCACCTTCCCCCTGCTTCCCATTCATGTGGCCAGGCCTTGACACGTGCTGTTCCCTTTGCTGGGAGCTCAGGGCGCTCTCCTCGACCTCATTCAGGTCTCTGTTCACATGTCATCTCAGCAAGGCCTTCCTCGACCATCCTGTCTAAAGTGCATCCTCATGTACTCACACCAGCTGCTCTTTCCCAGAAATTGGCAAGTTATAGCAGCCAAATCTGGGCCGACATGTGTTTTTGTTTAACTTGCAAACTGAGTGTTTGTTTGTTGTTTGTGTTTGAGATAGTCTCACTCTGTCGCCCAGGCTGGAGTGCAGTGGCACTATCTTGGCTCACTGCAACCTTCCACCTCCCAGGTTTAAGTGACTCTCCTTCCTCAGCCTCTGAATAGCTGGGATTACAGGCATACACTGCTATGCCTGGCTAATTTTTATGTTTTTAGCAGAGATGGGGTTTCACCTTGTTGGCTAAACTGGTCTCGAACCTGACCTCAAGTGATCCACCCCCTTCAGCCTCCCAAAGTGCTGAGATTACAGGCGTGAGCCACTGCATCCTGCCATGGTTTTTATATTCCTAAATAATGGGGGGAAAAAATCAAAATAACATTTTCCACCACGTGAAAATTATAAAATCCTATATGTTCAATATCTGTTAATGAAGTTTTATTGGAATATAGCCATGCCCATTCATTTACATATTGCCCGTGGCTGCTTTGGCAGAGTTGCTTGGTGATGACAAAGACTGTGTTGCAAAGCTGGCCAGCCAAGTAGAAAATATTTACTATCTGGACTTCTGCAGAAAAAATGTGGCAACCCCTGTCCTACCCACTTACCCTACTTTGTTTTGCTTCGTAGCATTTATCTCATCCTGGCACTGTGTGATTGGGTTGTGTGTTTGGTTTCTTTAATTGTCTGTCTCCTCCATTCACTGGCGTGAAAACTCTCGGGTTGCTAGAGCAGGTTTTGTTTTTGGCATCCAGTACCGTGCCTGACACATGGTTGATGCTCCCTGAGATTCATTGAATGAATGGAGACTGGGTCAGAGTACAGTCTCTGCAGTATGGCATACTCCTATTTGAGTCTCCACCATGCATCTTACAAGCAGCGTACCTTGGGCAACTTTTAAAAAATCTGTTGTAAGCCTTGAGGCAGTGATGGTACCTACCTTATAGGGTTGACCTGAGGAGGAAATGAGAATGAAATGCCCAGCCTGTGGGAAGGGCTCTGTAAAGGTAGCTGTAAAGGGCCTCTTGCCATGAACTCTTTCTGAACCCCAAGATCAGGAAAGAGACCTTTGCTCATGTAATTATAGGTGGTGAAGTCGGGGGTATGAGGTTCCATGTTCTTGATTGCTGCCCGCTCCAGCTGCTTTGGACAGGACCTCCCACCCCTCAGCTCTCTGGCTCAGTAATTGTTCGCTGGAGTACCCTCTTATGTGCCTCATACTGTGCTGGGCACATCAAGGTGAATGAGCACCGGCACTTCCACCCATGGTCCACTGGAGGAAGCAGCTGCTGTATAAGGGGAGCCTAGGTGCTGTGAGAGTCCCGAGGAGGGGCCCAGGTCCCCCTGACAGCCCTCTTCTCCCTCCTGCCCCATGGCCAGCTCCCTTCAGCCCTGACTGGTCACTTGGCCTGGGATCCTCTGTCATCCTGTGCTGGCTGAGCTGGCCCAGGCAAGCTGACCCCTTGTTCCAGACAGCTCTTCAGGGCTAAAAGGCAGGCTGGCTACCAGGAAAGGGCTGAACCTGCTGAACCCAGCTGCTTGCCAGGCCCTACCCCCTCATCCAGGCCACTTACTCTGCCTGGCACCCGTGGGCATGGGCCGCCTTGTGCTAGGACCTGTGAGAGAGCAGAGGGGGTGAAGATCACTCACTGGTCAGGGAGGTACAGGATGGCTGAGCACAGGTATGAGGACTGGAGGCTCTCCCCGGAAACTCCAGCATGCACAGTGGGAAGAGCGGGAGCCGGGGAAGTTGGTAGCTCTGTCCCCATTCTGCCACACTCTGGCTGGGTGAACTTGTGCAGGTTCCTTCCCCACCCAGGGCCTCAGTTTCCTCAGCTGTGGCTGAGCCACTTTAAGAATGTTTTCTGCTGTGATATTCTGTGGTTATTGGTCCTGGCTGATGGAATGGGATGGGCAAGGGATGATCACCACGTAGATACTGCTTAGGACAAGGCCCCGCCTGCAGTGACCTGCTTCTGAGGATTTACCTTCTGCCTCCCAGGGGGTGGGTGAAACACCTCCCCCGCCCCTCCCCCAATGCTTCAAAAAGAATGGCGGCTGCACCCTCTGACTTCCTGTGGCGCTGTGTCTGCGAGCACTCTGACATCTCTCAGGGGCTAGCCTCTGATCTTCCCCAGAGGAGCTGTTTCAGAGCAAAGCAGCCTTGAAGGGCAGGGCAGATGGGTGCTGGCAGACGAGGGAGGGACAGAGGAAGAGAGGGAACAGAAGTCAGGGCCAGGATGTTCACGAACACCTGTGCCCACCCTCTCAGGTGAGGGTTTTGAGGGGCCGCCACCTGGAGGCAGAGCAAAAGGATTGCAGGTTTCAGTTTCTGCCGAGCCTGAGGCCCCGTTCACCTCACTTCTCTGTCTGAAGCTCTGTCAGACTTTGAGAGGTGCTGCAGAACACCCCATGGGAAGGGTTTGGGCCCCTCAGCTCTCTGGCTCCCTCTGCCAACCCTTGCCTCTCCGGCACTTCTCCACCCTGCTTCGTGTGTAGACAAAGTCCCATGCCCCTTCTTTTCAGCTGGGATGGGTTTAAAGCACTATCTTGGTGCAAAAGTTACGGCGGGTTTTGCCATGAATAGCATTGTCCCATAGAGCATGGGTGTCCTATCTTTTGGCTTCTCTGGGCCACGTCGGAAGAATTGTCTGAGACCACACATAAAATACACGAACGTTAATGATAGCTGATGCGCTAAAAATTCACCAAAAAAATCTAATGTTTTAAGAAAGTTTACAAATTTGTGTTGGGCCACAAAGCCATCCTAGGCTACCTGTAGCCCGTAGGGCACAGGTTGGACAAGCTTGCCGTAGAGCTTCCCAAGATGAAGAAATGTTCTGCATTGGTGTTGTCAGATATGGTAGCCACTCATAGCTCTTGAGTGCCTGACGTGTGACTAATGTAACCGAGAAACTGAATTTGTATTTTACGGACTTTCATTCATTTAAGTAGCCTCATGTGGCCAGCAGCTGCCGTGCTGTACAGTGAAAGTTAGGGTCTTCCAAAGTCAGGAAGAAGGAACTAAGTGCACAAGTACTGTGAGAGTGTTGGAGGAGTTTGCAGGGCCCTTGTTTTCCATCCTAACTTCCCGAACGACTGGCCACTGCCAGATGAGCTGGACTTAGCTTAAGAATCACTCATTGGGGAACAGCAGACACTGGGACCTACTTGAGAGTGGAGGGTGGGAAAACGGAGAGGATCATAAAAAATAACTATTGAGTACTAGGCTTAGTACCTGGATGATGAAGTAATCTGTGCAACAAACCCCCATGACACAAGTTAACCCATATAACAAACCTGCACATGTACCCCTGAATATACAAAAAAGTTGAAAAAAAAATCACTCATTGCTGCAGCTTCTTCCTTTCCTTTTTCTTTCCTTCCCTTCCTCCCTTCCCTTCCTGCCTTCCCCCCTTCCCTTCCTCCCTTCCCTTCCTCCCTTCCCTTCCTCCCTTCCCTTCCTCACTCCCTCCATTCCCTCCTGCCTTTCTTATAGAGTATAGCTTGATCTCACAGCTTAAAGCCTACAAGAGGCTTAATGTAATGGAGAGCCACTGACAGATTGTGAAAAGGGGTAAAGCATTTTGTTTTATTTTTGATGGGCTCCAGTTGCATAGAATTAGGTTAAATCATCCTTGGTTCATGAGATATTGTCATCATTGATCCCTGTATGACTTGCTTTACTTTATTCATGTTAATTTATATATTTTACTAATGTTAGGGGTTCCTAAGGAAACCCACTATACCACCAATTATTTTGGCAATAACTTTTAATTACCTATGGGGCCTGCCCTATCCTGTACCCTGCCCCCACCCACTGCCTCCTAAGGTAAGAATTCCTCAGTTTTCTATTTATCATTTCCTTGCTGCCCCGTCACCCCTTTTTCTTTTCTTTTTGTTTTTTGGAGACTGGTTCTAGCTCTGTTGCCCAGGCTGGAGTGCACCACAGCTCACTGCAGCTCAACATCCTGGGTTCAAGCGATCCTCCCACCTCAGCCTCTAGAGTAGTTGGGACTACAGGTGCACACCACCACACCCAGCTAATTTTTGTATTTTTTGTAGCGACAGTGTTTTGCCATGTTAGCCAGGCTGGTCTTGCACTCCTGAGCTCAAGTGATCCTCCTGCCCTGGCCTCCCAAAGTGCTGGGATTACAGGCATGAGCCACCACACCTGGCCTATTCCCTTGCTTTTTAAAAAGTAGATACAGTGTTTTGAACTTTGAGTGTCATGCTATGTGTAGTCTTTCGGGCTTATTGTTTTTGACTCAAGTAAAACGCACAATGTTATACAGAGTTGTAGTTCTTTTTTCCTCTGTGGTCTACTGTTACATTATGTGAATGTACCCTATTTTCTCCTTTTAGTGAGCATTTGAATTGGTTCCAGCTTTTTTGTTGTGGACTGTGCCGCTTTGAACATTCTTGTTTTCGTTAACATATCTTGGTGTACAATTTCTCTGGTGGTGGAATTGCCGGATCATAAAACGGGTGAACGTTCAACTCTGGAAAACAATGTGGCATTACTTAATAATGTGGTTGTGCCAAATACACTTTGACTAGCACTGTGTAAGAGATCCTGCCAAATGACCTCCCGACACTCAGTATTATTCTTGATATTTACCAGTCGAACAAGTGTAAAATTGTACTTCATTGTGGTCTTAATTTGTATTTTCATGTTTAAGAATGAAGTTGGCATCTCTTTATGTGTTAATTAGCTATACATATATATGAAATATCTTTTATTGTGTAATTCCTGGTCATGTCTTTTCCCATTTTTCTATTTGGTTCTTTGTCCTTTCATATTTATTTGGTACAGGTTCTTTATATATGTTGCGAATATCTCTTCCCAATCTGAAAAAAACAAGTTACACTGTGTGTAATGATTGTTTTTTTTTTCTTTTATGGCTAGTGTTTTCATATCTTGTTAATGAAACACCTAACCCCAGATCAGATCACCTACCTTTGTTCTCCACTAAAAATTTTAAATTTTGCATATAGGTCCTTAAACTATCTGTAGATGATTTTAGGAATTTCAATGTAATTTTTTTCCATATGGATAGCCATTTTTTTTCTAGTTCTTTATATTGAACAATCCTTACTTCCTCCACAAATCTGCCATTCTGTAAGTATTGATCTGTTTCAGGTTCTACTTTGTTCTGTTGGTCCATTCGTTAGTCTCTGCCAATACCAACTGTCTTAATCACTGTAGCTGCATCAGTCAATTATCTGATAGGGCAAGTTCTTTTTATTCTTTTTCAACAGTGTTTTACATACATAAGGGTTGGCCATGTAAATTTTAAAATCAGCTTATCAAGTGTTTTTTTTTTTTTTTTTTTTTTTTTTTTTGAGACAAAGTCTCACTCTGTCACCCAGGCTGGAGTGCAATGATACGATCTCAGCTCACTGCCACCTTCACGTCCCGGGTTCTAAGTGATTCTCCGGCTTTGGCTTCCCAAGCAGCTAGGATTACAGGCATGTGCCACCACCACATCTGGCTAATTTTTGTATTTTTGGTAGAAACAGGGTTTTACTACATTGGGCAGGCTGGTTTCAAACTCCTGACCTCAAGTGATCCACCTGCTTTGGCCTCCCAAAGTGCTGGGATTACAGGCATGAGCCACTGTGCCCGGCCTCCAGTTGACTTTTAATCTAGTTCTTTGGGCAGTTGCTCCTGATTTCTTCAGTAAGGGGATAATCAGTGATGATGCTGAGGTCTCAGTGGGCAAGGGAAAGAATACAGCTTTCCTTTATCTACTCACATTCTTTGCTCATCTTCATCCCCTAACTCATACCATTTCAGAACACCTAGCCTTCTTAAGGACTTAGATTGTTAAGTTCTTAGATTCCTAGGTTCTGTGTTTCTCCAGGCTTGATTTGGTAGAAGTGAACAACCACTGCTAATTTTCCTAATTGGCAGAGCCGGAGTGAAGCTCTTTCCTTTTTCAAATAGCTTTTATTTGTAAACTTTATTTTTTTTTTTTTACAAAAGTAATTTGTTTATTTTAGAAAAGCAGAAAGAATGTCATTACAGCCTGTTTGTAACCACTGTTGACATTTTGGTTTGATGACCCACCTGCCATTTTACTCTGCATCTCGTATTTACTATTTTTTGTGTTTACTGCATCTCGTGTTACTGTTCTTTCTATGTAATATAGTGTGTGCATTTCCCTACACCCTAATGTATGATTTTACAGAGTCATTTTGGGTTGCATAATATTCCATCCTGAGAAAACATAATTTAACCAGTTTGCTATGGTTGGCTCTCTAGATTATTTCCCACTTCCCTTAATTATGCATTACTCTGTAATGAACATCCTTGTAGGTAAATGTTATTCACATCCACAATTACTTCCTTAAATTCTTAGTGGAATTTCAGGTCAAAGGCTTTAAAAGTTCATGTACAACTTCTCTCCAGAAAGATTATATGATTTTATTCTTACACCATGAATGTGTGCATTCCCATGCACCCCTACCTTAAACTGATGATGAATTTTGTAATATTCTGCCTTTTCTAATATTTGGCTTCACTTGAGCACTTTACTGTTGGTTTCCTCTCTCATGCAGAGCTGAGCTGGGTCTTCATAGAGACATACGTTTACATAGCTTCTTGGAAACAACTGGTCTGGTGGCCGGAAGGGTGTAGTCAGTGGCACTGTCCATGTAGCAGAGGTCAGTTAAAATCCAGGGGGAGGGGTGTTTGTGTGTCACCTACATTATAAAAGAAAACTTGTTCATTACAGAAAGAAATTTTACCTATAAATAAATACAAAAATCACCTATGATCCTACTGATCAAAGATAACTGCTGTGTACATTTTGATGGCTTATCTTTTCTCTAGATCTTACTGGATTTGAATGTGAGCAGGTATGTTTCTTCAGATTCATTCTTCACATTCTTTGGTCTTTTGTATCCAGCTCTTTTTAAGAATGCCTTTGCTGAATTTTCCAGCTTGTTCATTCATTCCTGTGTCCATTCTGCTTCTCAAGTTTTTTCTTTTTGTAACTGTATATTCTTGAATTTTCAAGAGCCCTAATTAGGGTTTTTTTCTTGGTTTATTGTCAGGATTGAATATTTATCCCAATGAGGATATTCCCTCTGCTTTTTAAAAGAATTGTCTTCTGTTATCACTGTTCCTTCTCCTCCTCCTTTCATTCTTCTATTTGGGGAACTGGTTGTCTTTCTTTCATGCTTCCTCCTTAAATGTTTGATTCTTGGCAGTGTACTCATCTTAGTGCCCGAGGTCTCTGTTGGCCTGCCTGGTAATGTTTGTTTCTGTGAGTTGCTCTGAGGTTGTGGAGAAGGAGTGTGAGGTGCTGCTGAGTGTCACCGGGACTCAGGCCTTGCCCCCGAAATGGTTTGGCTGTGTCCCCACTCAAATCTCTACTTGAATTGTAGTTCCCATAATCCCCACGTGTCATGGGAGGGACCCAGTAGGAGGTGAATTTAATAATGGGGGTGGTTGCCCTCATGCCATTCTCATGATAATGGGTTTTCTCGAGATCTGATGGTTTTTATAAGGGGCTTTTACTGTTTTGCTCAACATTTCTTGCTGCTGCCATGTGAAGGACATGTTTGCTTCCTCTTCTGCCATGATTGTAAGTTTCCTGAGGCCTCCCCAACCATGCTGAACTGTGAGTCAATTAAACCTCTTTTCTTTATAAATTACCCCGTCTCAGGTATTTCTTTATTAGCAGCGTGAGAAGGAACTAATACAGCCCCGTGGCCGGCTTGAGTGTCTGCACTGGTGCTCTATCCTTGAGGCAAATGCTTCTGCTGCCTTCCCCTGCCGACAGGGAAGGATGAGGCCAACCTGTCCAGCTCCTTCAAATGTAACTCCCCTGTTAGACAACCTCCCTGACATGCAGTAGGACCCCCCTGCTCCTGTACATGTGACTACTAAGCTGCCTGCACATTACTGTCTCCCTGTTTTTACAGAACCTTCTCCTGGGTGCACTTTGAGTTGTGGTCTCTATCCATCTGATCGGTCCCATCTGCTTTCTCTCTTTCTGTACTTCTTTACCTTTCTGGGCTATCTGCAGTATTCTTTCTTACCTTCCAATGCTATTATGGATTTTTAAAATCCCTCCATTATTTCTAGGGATATTTGGTAGAATGGAGCTATCAAATAGCACTTAATTCAAACACTTTTATGTTTCCATTATACAGAGTATCAAGACCTGTGTAGTACTTGGTTATTAAGAGCAGAGTCCTGAGTCAAGTACACATGGATTTAAATGCCAACTCTTCTTACTGTGTGGCATTAAGCAATTTTCATAATCTTTCAGAGCACCTCTTATCTACTAAATGAGATAATTGTTATTGTGAGGCCTCAGTGAGCTAATGTATGCAAAGCCCTCCGCAGATCACCTAGCACAGGGCACTCAATGCTTAATCTTTTCATTATTTTTGCCAGTTTTGATTCTTAGCTTTCTTTTTAAGTTAGGTCTGGTTAATATAGGTCTACAGAGAGCCTCTTTTCCATCCATCTTGTCTGGACAAAGAGTTTTGCCTTCCAGCCCTTCTCCCAGCCTCACCAAAAACAAGCAAGCAGTCTGACCCCTTTCTTGCTGTCCTTATAGCCCAGCTGCAGCGGCTGGAAGGGCTGAGGACCATCGGTGTTACCACCAATGGCATCAACCTGACCCGGCTGCTGCCCCAGCTTCAGAAGGCTGGTCTTAGTGCCATCAACATCAGCCTGGACACCCTGGTGCCTGCCAAGTTTGAGTTCATCGTCCGCAGGAAAGGTGAGTGGATGTGGATGAGGCGGGTGTCCCTCCCAGGGCCCGCACATAGCTGGGGAGGGAGGGCCATTGCTGAGCGAGGGGCCTGGTCACTTCTTGTTGTCTGGGCTATCGGTAAGTCAAAGCACTTATTTCTCACCCCTCATCCTTGCCAAATGTATGTCAGGGACTTTGGGGGTCAGACGCTAATGACTTAGGGTGACCAACCTCCCCACCGCCCCAGCCCCAGTTTGCCCAGGACTTGAGGGGGTTTTAGAATGAAGGACTTGAAGTTTTAAAACCAAGACAGTCTGTGGCAAACTGGGCCGAGTTGGTCATTGTACGACGAGCTCTGAAGAAACATGGGACAGCCCAGGGTGGAAGTCGCTGCCCTAGGATGCCAGGATCTGGGTATGTGCTGCCGGGTGGGGTTCCCCCAGCAGTCCCCCATGGTTGTCCCTGTGCCCACCTGGATATAAGCCCCTCCTGTGCACCCCCTACTGCAAGCACACCCACACCTTCCACTCAGCTGCCTCAGGAGGCCCGAGGTAGAGAGGTGGAGCCAGCCTCGAGCTCTGGGTCACAGTAGACCAGTGCCTGGCTTCCCCTTGGCATGGACCTCATGGTGGGGCAAAGGCTCTTCAGGTTTGGATACCCTTTGATATGAGGGAGGGGGGTACATGACTGAGGACTCTGGAGGATGAGAGGGATGGCAGGGAGACCCAGATCTCCTTCCTCTTCCTTGGAAACAGCTTCCCCACCACCTTCTTTCCTTCCTTTTTACAAACGGGGTGTGATGCCTTGCTTTAATACCCTCCATGTGCTGAGGAAGTACTCATGGTGTCTCCTTCCTCTATGGAGGGCTGCTCGAGGTGCCGTGGAGGGGACAGAAGACACATGAGACGTTGCCCTGGCCTTACAGGCTGCTAAGGGCGAAAAGATGTCATTCCACGGGACAGCCTTTGCTGGTCTTGTGATATTGATTAAAGTGTTACAGGGAGGAAGAAAGAATTCCTAGCAGGAGAGAACTAGGAGGGCTTCAAGGAGGATGCATGTATGCTGGCCTTGAGGAACAGGAGGGTTTGAATCAATGGCACATACTCTGAGGGGGAGCAGGAGTACAGAACCTGCAAGGGCTCTGTGGTGGGAAAGCGGGAGGTGGATCTGTGGGCTGTACTGCCCGCATACACGTTCTCCCTTTTTGTCTCTCATTTCCTGGCACATGGATTGGAGACATTGGATCTTCCCTCCCATTCATATTCTTTTGTCCACCATCTGCCTTTGGAGGGGAGTGTTTTAGAGAAAAGAAAACTTATAGTTCTAGGTTATTCTAGCAGCATTATTTTTTTCAAAACTATACGTTTTTTCCCTTTACCCTCTCACTGAGCAGTCTGAATATGCTGCAAGGAAACCATGGAGGCCATCTCTAGGCACCCTGTCTCACAGGTGACCACCAGGCTGTGCAGGCTGGGGGTGCTGTAGGGGACCAGGATGCAGTAGGTGATCAAGTGATTTAATGCATGAGAGAACTGGGCAGTGAAGTCAGCCTGGGGTCACATTGACTGTGGTTAATGATTATTGAGACAAATAATCGCTTACCAGCCCTGGAACAGCACCTGTGCGTAGTAGGTGCTCAGAGAGTATGTGTTGAGTGAATAATTGATGGACTGTTGAGGAGAAAACACTGAAATGGGAGTAGAAAACCTCATTCTGAAAGATGGAGCCATGGGGCTTTGGGCAGGGCATTGCCTCTCTCTGGGTCAGTTTCCTCCTGTAGACTACAAGAGGGTTCAGCTAGATCCAGGGTCAGCATGCACGGCCCACAGGCCACATCTAGCCCCCTGCCTATTTTCATGTAGCCTTTGAGCCAAGAATGCATTTTACAGATAACATTCAAAATCAGTTAATGATAGGGAACATTAACTATGAACCCCATTTGAGCAAAATACTGTCCCTACAAAAAGAATTGCATTATTGTATCCCATTTGTAGATCTGTTTTACAAAACGTTGTACTCAGTTATTACTACATTTTGAATTTAATCAACACTTTGTGACATATACTTACTTGGATCCTCAATGTTGCCTCTTGGCTTGCAAAGCCTATGGTATTACTCTGGCCTGTTTCAGAAAACGTTTGCCAATCTCCAGACTAGATGGGCTCTGGTGCTTTTCCATGGGGGTGTGGGGGAAGAGGAGAGAGGACATAAGTTCCTGGATCCTTGTTTCTCCCTCCCAGGCTTCCACAAGGTCATGGAGGGCATCCACAAGGCCATCGAGCTGGGCTACAACCCTGTGAAGGTGAGATTGTGCCCCCACGGTAGATTCCCGACTTCCCTCCATACTGCCTTGGCCTTCCCCTCAACGCCCCCTGGCCCACTTGAGAGCCCTCAGCTCTGGCCAGCATGGCTGAAATACGTGCACCCTCCCACCTCTTCTCTCCCTGCTGGTCCAGCCCTGCCCACCCTCGAGAGAAACGAGAAAATCAGTGACCCCTTGGAATCCCCTAATCTAGAGAACTGGAGTGGGAGAAGCAAGGAATGGGTCCCTGAGTGGAAGGCCTCAGTGAGTGCCAGGCCCCCAAGGGTCATCTCCACAAAAGAATGCAGGGGGCACAGCCCTCTTGGTCCCCTTGTTTCCTGGCCAGGTGAACTGTGTGGTGATGCGAGGCCTTAATGAGGATGAACTCCTGGACTTTGCGGCCTTGACCGAGGGCCTCCCCCTGGATGTGCGCTTCATAGAGTACATGCCTTTTGATGGTCAGTGACCAGGGATGGGTGGGGGAGGGAAGAAGGGATTGGGCCTGCAGGTCGCGCAGGGTGGCTCACCTGCTGGGTATGGCTGACCTCAGGGGCGGTGGGTCTAGGATTATGATGGGCTGTTGGTGGCTTCTCGGAGTCCACTGTGGATGTGATTCAATCCACCAGTTTTAGGCAGGGCTCCCGTCTCTCCCATCTAAGAGGCTGAGAACTGATTGCTATGCTATGGCAGGGGATGGACTCAGACCCCGGGGCCCCTTCAACTCTTATTCAGAAGCTCCCCTTGCCTTCCCCCAACCCAAATACAGGCAACAAGTGGAACTTCAAGAAGATGGTCAGCTATAAGGAGATGCTGGACACTATCCGGCAGCAGTGGCCAGAGCTGGAGAAGCTGCCAGAGGAGGAATCCAGCACAGCCAAGGTTAGGGAGCAGGAGGGTATGGGACAGGCCTGGAGGAAGGTCGTGCCTCCACCCGAGGATGGAGAGCTAGTAGGGGGCTGCCCTGTGGTGGGGATGCCGTGATGTGGGATGGTGCTGTTTAAGCAGGAAGCATCAGTGCTATCACAGCCGCCTCCCTGTTTCATGGAGGAAGATATGGGCTCGGCTAGGGTGGGGGGGCTTAATAACGTGTCAGAGGACACACTCCAGGAAGTGGCAGAGGGGGGTGCTCGTCCCTCTTCCACATTGACTTTTCTAAACATGCTGCCCACAGGTCCCTGCCTTAGCAGCTTTTATTAGGGCAAGCCCAGTGTAGGTCAGCCCATGGGTCATCCATCCTACCAGAGTCTTCTATCACCTGAGGGCCTTGGGTGGAGCTTCACATGGGGTCCTCTGGGAGAGGGTTGAGGAGTGGAGGTTCTGATGTCATGGAGTGAAAGACTGGGCTCAGTAGCCCATCCCCTCCACTGCCCTTTTGCTCTCACTGTCCCCTGCCCAGGCCTTTAAAATCCCTGGCTTTCAAGGCCAGATCAGCTTCATCACGTCCATGTCTGAGCATTTTTGTGGGACCTGCAACCGCCTGCGAATCACGGCTGACGGGAACCTCAAGGTGAGCATCCCCTCCTCCACGGGGACCCCTTGCCACCTCTGTGTTCTCGTATCTCCTCCCACCTGTGCTCCCTGATTGGAGAGGAGGCTGGCAGTGCACGTAGGTGTGGTTGGTGCAATGTCAGGTTTGGGGGCATCATGGGAGCAGCAGGTGAAGTTGAACTCATGGCCCCTCTGGAAATGTCACCCTGATTCCTTCCTTCCTTCTGTGGGGCTCTGAAGTAGCTTCTGGTTTGTTGGGAGCTCCTTTCCAGCTCTCATGGAGAGCCGAAGGATCCATGTGCATTTTGCCTGGCCCCCACCATGGTTAGCCCCTTCCACTAGGCCAGGGGCTCAGCTCTGAAACCAGAAATGGATGTTACTCATATCTAACAAGCATGTCCTGTGCATTTGGCCCTGTGGGGGATGTTGGAAACCCCTCTCGTCAGGGCCATGCAGACTCGCAGGCAAGACCAAACAGAGGCAATGTGTGGCAGCACGCGAGTCCTTGCCACACGCGTGGCTGGATAGGTGGTGAGGGTGCAGGGCCTCAAGAGCACTACAGACCTCAGTGAGCCTTGAAGAATGGGTGGGGCAGAAGTGGGGAGGCGAGGGCACACACATAGGGTTCACACTGGTTGGGTACGCGAGAGCAAATTAAAGTCAGCTATAGGAAGAGTACATTGTAAAAGGCTCTGGTTCAGAATGTGTTCTGTGGACAAATAGTGTGCTGTGTAAGGTTCCTGAACAGGGGAGACATTCCCCATATATGTTTTATAAACTGCAGCCTGGGTGTGATGACAGGAAGACCAATTAGATGGCCATTCAGTGGTTCTCCAGATATGTTAGAGCGTGAATTGAAGGGAAGGAAGACTCAGAGCTTGGTAATGTTTGTGGAAGGAGGGGAGGAAGGCATCGTGTTAGCTGGAAGGCCTTGGGATCTTTTACAATTGTGGGAGGGTGATGATAGTGGGTGGTTGGATGTAGATGCATCCAGTTTGAATCCAAAAGGAACCATCCAGCAGGTTGCTGAAAAGCTTGGGGGTTTTCTGGGCTGGAGATACGGAATTGACATGGACTACAGGTGGTATCTGTATCTGTGAGGTCTTGGCAGGAAATGGAAGGTGGGATTCTGAAGAGAATGTAATGAAGAAGCTATTTGTAACATAGGATTAAGGGAACCAATAAAGGATATTGAGGTACTTGGGACCAGCAGCAGCAAAGTGCTGTTCCCACTTAGGAAGGGCAAGGAGGGGGGCATTGATGTCACTGGGGCCCAGGAAGGGCTGGAGCCTTATAGGAGAGGCCACCTCTTTGGCACTTGAGCTGTGCAGAGAAGCAGCTGCTGCCAGATGCATCAAAGCAGGGAGGAAGCAGGGGAGAAATGCCTCAAGATCTTTCTTTCCCTTTACCCACTGATCTCCCAGGCAGGAGCCACCTGGAGTGGGGGCCACTGGGTGAAGTCCACAGGAGGAACCTCTTTGTTGCAGAGAAGGGAACCTGGAGACTGGCTGGGGAGTTGAGGCATGAGGAATAACCGGCATGATGAAGCAGTTAGACCTATCCTAGATTTCACTGGTATCTTCTCCAGTGGTCTCTGCCCTCAGAAGCTTCTCAGACATTCTCTGTGGCCACAGTGCCTTGTGCAGAGCTGGCACAGAGTAGACACTTTGTAAGTTTTGGTGGAAGGATAGTAAGTGTATTGATTTCTGGGGCTGTCTCATCCATTCTTCTTACAGAAGCTGAGAAGCATTGAGCGAAGTTTGACCTTAAGTTGTCATGCCTAGCAGCCCTCAGCTGAAGCTTCCAAGCAGTGATCAGACTCAGATAGGTACAGGGCAGGCGGGTGATGTCCACAAGGGACTTGGAGGGGCTGAGGTGAGATGGGATGTGTGTGCCACAACAGGGAGTAGGAGACTTCCAGGACACACACAGCTCCAACTGATTGGGGGCCATTCTCATGGTGATAGAGAGGCCATTCCAGTAAGTGTCTCAGAAGGTACAGATCTGGATTTTTACATGCTATCTCTGTTGGCATCTACTCAGTTTTTAAAAAAATACACTGAGGGGAAGTATGACTGTAACTCACAGGTATTGGGAAGTGCAATGTTGCATCTTGCTCTTCTAGCCTCTGACCTCCCTACAGCACCTCTGTCTCTCACCACTGGGGGCCCTGCCATGGGAGGTCTGGGCCCTGGTGTTCCTCCCGGAGGGAGGACCAGGGAAGGAGTTAGCTCCTCAGAGGCCAGGAGGCCAAGGCTCAGGGGTAAGGAAGGCATATTGTCCTCACCCCCACGTAGGTCTGCCTCTTTGGAAACTCTGAGGTATCCCTGCGGGATCACCTGCGAGCTGGGGCCTCCGAGCAGGAGCTGCTGAGGATCATTGGGGCTGCCGTGGGCAGGAAGAAGCGGCAGCATGCAGGTAAGGGCAGGGTGGGGAGGGGTGGCCTGGATGGTGAGTGTGGGCCTTGTCCCCGGGAGGGAGGTATAGAGTTGTGGAATGAGATGACCAAGGAATACCTAAGAGGAAGCTGGCAGGAGTCAGCATCGTCCCCACTGCCACTCACTCCTGTTGGCCCTCTGGCCTCAGGGTGCAGTGATGCTTGTCCTTCCATGGGGAGATGTCATAGCAGAGGCTGCACAGGGGAGGGGACCCCACATTCTCTTGGGCTCTTTTACTGGGTGGGGAGACGGGGGTATCATTGCTTCTTTCTCACCCCACGTGTGGCCTTCTGTTGAGGGAGAGCAGGGTCCTGATGTCCACTGTTCTTTGGGCTCAGTCTTGAGCGACCTCGCAATGTACATGTGGGGGCCTTTTGTCAGGGCGCATATAGCTGAGTGCATGTGCTTGTGGGCTGTCGAGCGCGTTCGTTTCAGTGAACTCTCCTCTCCCCACCCTCTCTCTCTCCCCCTCCCCTGCTTTCCTCTCCCTCCCCATCTTTCCCTCACCCCAGGCATGTTCAGTATTTCCCAGATGAAGAACCGGCCCATGATCCTCATCGGTGGGTGACCCATCAGTACGTAACCACTCACCCTTGTCATTTGGGGATCCCGTGGGGTGGGAGCCGCGCCATAGGCACCCCAGCTCCTGCATTTCATGCTGATTTCTCATCCTTGTTTTTCTTCTATTCCTCCTTCCTGTCTTCTTAACCTTCAAGGTTTTACTGTTTCTTCCCCCACTGTTCATGATCCCCCTTTTACTATACCTGCCACAGAAATGATCCTTCTGTCTCACCAGAAATCGGAGCAGGGGGATGGTCTGCCAGATTTAATGATCACTAAGTTAGTGGCTCCCTGAGAATTGAAATCCTGGTTAAAACAGAGGCCTTTTCCTCAGCTCGAAAATCTCCCAGTTTGGATAATGTGACAGGTGTCCTCTGTAGTACACACTGATCCATGCATGGTGTATCTGGACCATTAGCCCCTACTGGTGGGTGTGTGGCCACACGTCTGTGCTGGGCAGATCTTGAGGTAGCGAGCTAATAATGTTACTCACGTGTAACATGATGTAATGATGGCCAAGACCTCAACTTCCCAATTCTTTAGCTCTCAGGAGCATCTGCATAGGACATATCATCGTGTATGTAGGATGTTTCAAACAAAAGCCCCCTGGTTTTAAGTCCTTATGTGGTCTCCTAGCTCTGGGGGCTGGGCTGGTCACTGAGGAGCTGTAGGGTGGCTGTTGCCCCTCTGGCATAGTGCCCAGATTAGAGCCGGTGAGGTGTTGACCCTTTGCTCACAGTCAGGTCTGAGCCCCCTGAACTGTGCCACTAGAAAAGAAAAAGCAGGGGGAAGAAAAAAGATGAGAGGAAAGATCCTTTCTCTAGAGGTTGGAGCAGAGTGAGCTCAGTGGCCCAGCGGAAGGCAGGCTAGAGACAGCCCAAGGACCATCTTTGCCCACTGGCTGCCCGGGAAAGCAAAGGTAGCTCGGCACTGGGAAGATTCTCATCTCCTCTCCTCCCACCGCTAGCATCCAAGTCCTCTTGTTGGGCCCTGACCCATGCTGAGGCACCTTTATGGCCTTGATAGCATCTCCCCAGAAGGGAGGCTGCCCCTCTAACATTGACAAGTCTGGGGCTTAGAGTATGTTGGGAAGTGGGAAGCTAGGGGAGCATTTGCTTCATACTTTCAGAGATATTGAGTAACGAGTCTGCTTTGTATACAACCAAGAGTTGCCTAGGACCGGGCCTCTCAGAATTTCACGTGCATGTGAATCACTGGGGATTTTGTCCTTTTGGATTCTGACTTTGGATCTGGGGTGGGATTCTGCATCTCTTGTGAGTTCTCAGGTGGTGCTGGTGCTGCTGGTCCATAAGCCAACCACCCTTTGAGTAACAAGAGCCTGCACAGTTCCCTAGGCCCTCTGCACCATCTGAATTAGCCCATCAGTTTGTATGTGCTTTTGATGTGCTTGAGGGGACTTGAAAAAAATGTAAGTAGGTAACATATTCCCTTTATTGTCTTGTCTGTAAACTAAGTGGTTCTATTAACTCTTCATGGAGAATGTGAAGATGAAAATAAGTGTAATTGGTAATTTAGAGTGAGACCTAGCTCTAGTTTTAAGAAAACGAAGGGACATTCAGAGGTCATGTGATCCAGGCCTCAGCTCGGTGCTGCTTGAGAGAACTTAGGAAATGAGAAGGGTTTCATGAGGAGGAACCCTGTGCCACCATGGCACAGCAGTTTCTAGAAGGGCTGTTACCCTGTGCATCACCGGGTGAGGAGGGCTGTGAACTTGGACTCTGGGTGCCATCTATCTCTGTGGATCTTCTACTTTGTCTTGTCCCACTATGCTTTTTGTTCTTCACTCCTCTTTCCCCGGTGTGAAAGAGAACTTGAAGTGGGATAGGGAGAGGGTGTGGGAAAAAGAATCGCCTTTTAGACTTAGTCTTTCTTCTTTTTTTCTTGCCTTGCAGAGTTATTTTTGATGTTCCACGATTCCCCACCAGCCAGTCCAAGCATTTCCTCCTGGGACCCCCTCCATGTTCAGGGTCTAAGACCCAGAATGAGTTTCTCCAGCCAGATGGTCACTTTATGGAAAGGATGCAGGGTCCCCCAGGCCCTTCTGTTAGCCCAGCAGCGGCTGGGGTCTGGCTGCTTTCAGAGACACTACACTTCCCGTGCAGACTCAGATGCCAACTCAAAGTGCCTTAGCCCAGGTTCCTGGGCTCCTGCTGCCCCCTCAGGACCCCAGCTAACCTCAGAACAACTAACTCATGTGGACTCGGAAGGACGGGCAGCTATGGTAGATGTGAGCAGGAAGCCAGACACAGAGCGGGCGGCTGTGGCTTCAGCCGTGGTCCTTCTGGGGCCTGTAGCCTTCAAGCTTGTCCAGCGGAACCAGCTCAAGAAAGGAGATGCCCTGGTGGTGGCCCAGCTGGCTGGAATCCAGGCAGCCAAGGTGACCAGCCAGCTGATCCCTCTGTGCCACCACGTGGCCCTGAGTCATGTGCAGGTGCAGCTGGAGCTGGACAGCACACGCCATGCCGTGAGGATCCAGGCATCTTGCCGGGCTCGGGGGCCCACCGGGGTGGAGATGGAGGCCCTGACCTCTGCTGCAGTGGCCGCCCTCAGCCTGTATGACATGTGCAAGGCTGTCAGCAGGGACATTGTGTTGGAGGAGATCAAGCTCATTAGCAAGACTGGCGGTCAGCGGGGGGACTTCCATCGGGCTTAGCGCCTGCCCTTCTTACCCATGGCCCACCCAGACCTGGAGCTGGGATGCAATTTAGGCTGAAGGAAAGATGTCAGGTTCCTTTAATCACAGTCACTGTTTACCTTGAGCAGTAAATCCGAAGTCAGCCTGCTCTACTACTAACAGGCCTGCTACTAGATGATCTCTAATCATCTAGGTGGGGCTTCCTTTCTATAGGGAGGATACCAGCAGGCTCTTAAGCCTTCCAGGACACTAAGGTCATGGGAGCAGGACTACAACAAGCAATGCTAGATAACTGAGAAATCATGTTCTTTGTGGACTATTTCAGACAACCAGTTTCCGACAGTCCAGCCCAGAACTTTTCCTTCTCCTTTTGGGTTCTCTCTTCTCCTACTTTCCTGGGGAGAGATTAAGGGCTTATTAAGCAGAGGGGCCCACTTTGAGGAGAGCAAAGCACAAGTTTGCCTGAGGAATGCATCCCAACTTCTCCCCAGCAGCTCTGCCTCCCTGTCTGTGAAGCCGCAGCCCTGCCCTGTCCTGACTTCATCTCTCCTTCTGCCCAAGTCTGTGTCCCATCAGACTTGCTCAGCTTAACAGTTGCCCGGTCCTGCTGGCCCCCTTTCCTCAGGCCTCCCTCCTCTGAAACAGGATGTGCACACGTGGGCCACAGCCCTAAGGACTCCTCCCGGACTACACAGCCCACACCTGGCCCTGCTCACGGCTGTTCCACCCACCCCTCTTCGTTCTGGAGCATATCAGGGAAAGAAGAGTTGACGGTAGATTGCCTTCACCCTCACAGCGCACAAATAAAGCTACGATGCCAACTTCTTTGCAGACACAAGAATGAAGACTGTGTGTGGGTAGGGCACTGGGCTGCTGCAGTTTCATGGGGAAGGGTGCACCTATCAACCCTATCCCAAGACACATTTCCCTGGGGGAAGAAGAGGAAGGACCTGGAAAGGCCTAAGGGCATATTCTCTGTATAGCCCCACTGTAGGAGAATAAAGTGGAGTGGGGGTGGGGGGCCATAGAAATGGACCATCTAAGGGAAACTTTGTCAGGTGGTGGCCAGGGGTGTTCAAAGCTCATTGCTTGCATCACCAGCTATTAGAGATCAGATAGGGCAATTAGAGGGTCCTGGTTCTCACATCCCCAAACACACACTGTTCTGGCCTGCTGGGCTCTCTAACTTGGTTGGATGTCTTTGAGTCCTCAGTGGTGCCCCCTGCCTGCCTCCCCTCTGCCCTATGCCAAGGTGTGCTGGCAAATGTTTAACAACCAGCTCTCTGGAAAAGACAATTTCTGTGATATAAATACTCCCATGTTGAATAATTTCAAGCTACCAATATGTCAAATGGCTTGCAAAATTCCATTCCTGAAAATGTAAACAATTGGTTCTCACAGAGCTGGTACAAGCTGGCTCCAGCACACCACCCCCAGCCCATCCCAGATCCCCTCATAGGAAGAAGGCACAAGTTTAAAGGCAGACTGGATAGGGATGGTATGAATTTAATATTTTTTAGTATTACAATATATTCTTATAAAAAAGGTGCAAGTGAAAAAGGACACTGCAGATTTTGTCCATTAGCCTCATTTGTCATCTGAGGCAGCTGGTGAGAATAGCCCTGGCATGAAGGCATCCCTGGTAGAGGTCGGGGGAGATGGTCACAGCTCCCAGTTGGTGGAAATGGAATGGGAGTAGGGAGAGGCTGGACCAGACCTTTCCCCATTCACCTGGAGAATTTTCTTCTCCCACTGCCCTAAACACTTGATTTCCATCACAGGGGAGAAATGCTGCTGAGAAGGTTGTGTTAGGTTGACGATGAATTTTACGTTGGCCACAAAATTAGCTGGAGAAACTTATCTAAAGGTGGCAGGAGCGGTGGGGAAGGGCATGAAAAAAGCAAGACCAAGAAACATTAAGAGGCTAAAACATTTAACATATTAAGGACCAGCTCAGCCATCCCCATTGGGCACCAGCCCCTTCTTACTCAGTTGAGTATGAGTCCATGGTCCAAGGCACTGGAGATCTGGCTACAGTGGCATCTAGCACTAGAGCCACTGACCAGCTCTAGAAAATAAATAGAAAAATATCTTTTAGAGAAGGCTGGGCTCTGGAACAACATATTTGTGTCCTCTGTCAACAGTTGAACCAAATTCTGCTTTTCTGAAGATCAAATGTGTCTTGAACAGCTTCCATAGTCCCTGTCTTCTCAGGTGTGTATCCAGTCTTCCATGGTGGGTGGGAATGCCAGACATGCTTGTGGAGCCATCCCCTGTTCCCTGCCCCTTTGGGGGGTTAGGTTGACAGCCTGGCCGGTTTGGGAGAGGACCTTTAGAGGCCTCACCCACAACCTCCCATCTTCCCCAACACCTGTCTTGCAGTGGGAGCTCTTGGGGGTGCAGATGGGTATAGCCAAACTCTGTGCAGCTGTTCTGCCTGGAAGCCTTTATCTTGCCCTCACCTGGGTTCCAGGATGGCCTCTTCACACCTGTGTCAGCCAGGCTTGCACTTGCTCAGATCCCTCCCACCAGAACACACGCGCCACCCACCCCCTCAAACCAACGCACATGCTGGACTCGCCGACCCTGTGTTTCTTCCCCCACAGCTACACTACGGTCCCAGCCCCAGGAGTCTGATGCAGGTGAAAGGCAGAAGATAGGCAGCTGAGAGTGGGCCCAGCTCACCAGTCTCCACTGGCAATAACCCGGAGCCAGGGATTAGGTTGGAAAGTGAGAAACACAGGGAAGGGCAGAAGGGCCAAGAGCTGGTCGATGGTAGAGGTCAGGCAGGGCCAGTCTCACAGAGGATGAAAGGCCAACTCGGAGCGTGGAATTGAAAATAAGAGCCTTGATGGAGTTTTAGAAGAAAAACTGTCTAGATACAGCCATCCCATCCACCAAGGCCAGCACAAGATGGACAAAATGGAAGGTGGGAGTGGATGGGAGGACTGGAAGGAGCCCTTTGCAGGTCAGGCTGAAGAACCAAATTGGGTACCAGAGGTGGGGTGGCCCCCTCTCAGCCTTCCTCCTCCATCCCCAACCCCCCAGTTTCCCTTGCCTGCTCTGCTGTTCGCCCCATCCGAACGCCTGAGAGGAGGGGATACCCTTAGAGACAGCATGTTAATGCGGAGGGCAGCTCTGGCCCACAGACTTCTCAGGAAGCAACTCTCCAACGCCAGTGGACACATGGTTCCAAGTGGCCACCTGCAGGCTGAACAGAGGCCACTGTGGCTTCTGCCTTGAGGCTGGTGTTAGAGAAGGGGTGGGAAGGCCTGAGCAATTTATATTAAATAGAGAGCTGTGGGATGGAGCTAAGCATTCAAGTGCTGCCCTCTGCTGAGGGGCTATAGGGGACTCCAAGGCAACATTTGAGGTCACTGTCTGGCTTCACAACAATGGCCAGGTGTCCAGGAGGTGGGGACATGGGAGATGCCCAAGGCATGAGGTGTGGTGATGAATGAGGTCTTTCTTGAGCCCCTCGCCAGATTCATCAAGCACCTGGTAGTAAGCCATAGCTGTGGAAACCCAAGGTGAGTCTTCTAGGATTGTGGATTAGTAGACAGGATGGCAGTGAGGGTAGAGAAGGAAGGGGGAGAGACTTAAGACATACAGGGAGAGGCCAGAGGACCTGGGAAACAGACATTGTTACTCTGTCCTGATGTCTTTGGTCCCTGCATCATCCTTCCAACATTGACTGTTTTCTGGAACCTACCAGAGCTGATCTAACTAGAATATATAATGCCTCCTCTGTTTCCATTCAAGAGGAAAGTTTGCCCCTAGGTCAATGTTCTGTTGAGCCTCCCTTTGAGAGACAGGAGTCTGGATTCCCTCACCAGATTCCCTCTCAGGGGCTCCCTCCATCATGCTGCACAGGAAATCTGGACAAGGCTGTGGACCTCTCCAGTCGAGATCTGGAACTGTTCTGTGCTAGCACATGGGTGCCCATGGTAGGGGATGGGGAACAGGGCCCCTTCAGCCTGGGGTTAGCTGGCCTGAGGCCTTCCAGGGATGTCCAAGTCAGCCTCAGAATAATCCCTAGGGCCAGGGCGCAGAAGGAACCATGTGAAGGAGATGAGAGGAGCCCCTTAAGGTAAGCGTTGGGAGTACACCTGGTCCAGCCACACACAGCCCCCCACCCCAGGACCCAGCCCAGGGCTCTAAACCAAGCACCAAATGGCTTAAATATCACCACCTCCTCCACTCAGCCCCATTCTCACCCATCCCTGTCTCCTGGCCTCCTGTGCGGCCAGTTCCCCAGGTCAATAATTTAGCCGGTTTATTGCCCGCTCCCGGGTGACTTCCAGGGCCTGGCTCCCTGATCGCTTGCGGCTGCGCTTGAGCTTGCATAAGTCCTTGTCGAAGACCTCCCCAGAGCGCAGAGCTGACACCAGGTCATCGAACTCGCCTCCCTCCTCCAGCGAGCTGCCCGCAGCCAGGACCTTCCGCTGCCGCTGCCACCGCTCACGCTCCCTCTGCTCCTTCAGCTGCGGGCAGGGGGCCAGAGGTAGGAACCCTCTCAGGGAGAGGCACTGAGGCCAGGGAAGCCCCCTAGCCCTGGGCTAACTCCTAGGCCATGGTCATGCTGCCTGCCTGTAGCTGTTGGCCCCGCTTTCCTCCTGCCTAGGACATACAGGCTCCCCGCCTCACACCATTCTCTTCCCTCAGGCTGGGAAGAAGTTTCTCTCTCCTGGGGCTGACATCCAACCCCTATGATGTTCCTCAGTCCCTGCCTTCCTCCCACACACCCCAGTTTGGGGGTGCTCTTCCCAGGTAGCACCCATCTCCCCTCAGTCCCAGGCCCATCACGGCCCCTCACCATGGCTTCCATGCGCGCCCGCCGCTCCTCCTCCTCCTTCCTCCTCCTCATGGCCTCTAGATCCTGCCGGGCCTCTGAGAAGGCCTGCAAGAAGGTGTCAAAGATGCCAAAGAATTCGTCCGGCTGCATCTTGCTGTCATGCTCCCCGAAGTGCATCAAGGCCTTGGCGAACTGTCAAAGGAGAGAACAGGGTTGGTGGAGAGTGCCTGGAGCATGCTGGGCTCAGCCCTTGAGGTTAGCTGGGTTCTAGCCAGAGCAGAACCCAGTGCAAGGCTGGGGACTGTTGGCACAGGGGGCAGGGCTGGAAGAGGCGAGAAGACACCTCCATCATCATCGAGATCAGAGACAAGGCTAAGGAGAAACAGGTAAAGAGTTGAGTTCACTCACAGTCCACCTTACAGCCACCCTTGGGCCTGTAAGGGGTAGGCATGAGATCAGGGGTATAGACCTTGGGAAGCCCTTCCTGAGGTCAGGAAGCGCCTGGCAGAACTCAGAACTTCAGAGATCCTCTAGTTATCAGGTGAATAACCCCTCTGTGCCTCAGCTTCCTCCTCTGTAAAATGGGAATAATAGAATCTACATCATTGTGGTGTTGGGGAGTTAGAGGAGTTGGTGGCTATAAAGGAGTAGCTATACTTATATACTGAGAGCTACCATTGTTAATTCAACCCACTCAGTATCCTCTAAGAAAGATCTCATTACTCAAAGTGTGCTTCCTGGACTAGCAGCAGGTTCACCACCTGTTGGAAATGCAGAATCTCAGAGCCCAGGCCTCCTAAATGAGAATCTGTGTTTTAATAAGACCCCCATACATGAGGTCTATGGGCATGTTAGGGTGAGAAGCAGATAGAGGCAGAGTAATTGCGTCCACCGCTGAGCTGTAGTGTCAGAGTCTAACCCAGTGCTATCACTTACAGCTGGGCAATCTTGGGCAAGTTACTTAGCATCTCTGATTTTAGTGTTCGTATCTGTCAAGTGGGAACTAAAACACTTAACATGATGCCTGATAGCTGATAAATGGATCTTTGCGGTATGTGGTTGTCATGGCTTGTCTTGTTAAAAGTAAGGAAATGGTTTTCTCTCAAAGCTCTGTAACTCTGGGTTTGTCCCTCCTGGGCTGTCAGTGGTAGGAATGGGTGAAGGAGCTTGTTTAGATAAGGCTGGGTTGGCAAGCAGTGGGGGTTGGGGCACCCTTACCTTGTCCCTGGCCTCATTTAGCTGGTCCTCCAGCTCTGAGAAGCTGAAGCTGGACACCGTGATGAAGTCGCTCATGACGGGGACAAACTTGTCATTAGGCTCCCGCACCTGGCGCCTCTGATACTCCAGCTCCTGAGGAGGGAGGGCGAAGTGCTGCTTAGACTGGTGCCAAGATGAGAATCAGGGGTGCAGGGGTCACCATGTCTCCCATCCTTTTTGTCACTCATAGGACATTGAGCCCTTTGGAAGAGGGAACACCCTGCGTCTCAAAGTTCTAAGGATGGCAAAGACTATGAGCATTAGCAGCCCGCCCACCCTGCTGTCTTTTTCTCTAGAGCACTGAGACCCAACGTGTGACCTGGGGCCAGCAGCATCACCTGGGAAATTATGAGAAATACAGACTCTCAGACCCACAAGATCAGAAGCTGCATTTTAACAAGACTCATCGTTACAAGACTTCAGGTGAGTCATGCACAAAATTAGAGACATTTTCCTAAAGCTCCCAGCTGATTCAGAGGCTGCCAGCCCATGGATCACACTTGGAGCAGCACTTAAAAGGCCTATACAATTGTAAATTTGGAAGTCATCTTCCCCCACCACAGTGGCAACAAAATGTTCTTTCTCATCCTTAATCTGTCTCTCAAATCCATTCTCCCCTTACCCACTGCCTCTCTCCACAGTGAAGATGGGAAGGGTCTCTTGTTCCTAGGTTTGGGGGACCTGTGTGGTCCCCATACTGGGCCAGTCTGGCTCACTTCCCCACTACTCTACTGGTGTTTTCTGGAAGGCTCGGGCCAGAGATAGTATCAGCCGAGAAGCCATCAGAACAGGAATGGTGGGAACAAGAGACCTGGGTCCTCCACCGGCCCAGGAAAGAGGCAGAGAGACGTAAGGAAGAACCTTCTGAGGACATCGGTCCCACTGCCACATTGTGTGCTTCCTGCCCCTAGCTGGCAGTCAAGGGATGAGGATTCTCTTTGCCATGCACTTGAATCCAGTGTAGGCATCGGTTAGATGTATGGTTCATTCCACTCCACTGCCAAATAAACACCAAGTTGGACAGTAACATGGGTATAGTCTCAGGTGACCCCTTTTAAAAGGTTCAGACTTAAGCCCCAGTAATCCAATTATCTTTTGGGAGGGCTGACCCTGTGCTAGAAGCTGTACCCACTGTGCCCGTTGTTTTTCACTCCTGTGTAGGAGCTTAGGGTGCAGTGATGAACAGTGTTTGCCGACAGCAGCCCTCACCCAGGTAGGCACTGACGAGGTACTCACCACCTCCACTGCTCTCAGGCCCCTCCTGAGGTTGCCCACCTCCTTCTCCAGCTCTGCTAGGCTGTGAGGAGACACAGAGGGAGGGGAATGAGGACCATCACCTCCTGCCTTGAGGTGCTAAGGCTGGTTCAGGAAGAGGGCAGAGCCAAGCACAGTGGCCTGGGAGTTGGTGAGCCTGGGTTCCAGCCCTGGTGTGGCCACTGATGGCCCTGACAAAGCACCTCCCCTTCGTGCCTCTGTCTGTGCATCTATAAATTAACAAGGTGAAACCTGCGTTCTATAGATCTTTCCAGGTCAGAAATGTCATGCTGCAATATGAGAACGTTTCCAACCTGTGGCTTCTGGCTTAGACTATTTATTTTTATTACTACCAGGTAATGCTTATGAGCTCTTTATGTGATCCTGCAAGCAATAGCATTCGATACCAGTGAGCCATGTACCACTATGTTTCTAGTTTTCCTGGAGATGACATCTATCACCTAAATGTTCAGGTCTAATTTCTTGCCTAGCAGATGCTGTTGGTGCCCCACCCACATTTCCTTGGACCATCCATTGTAGGGCATGGCCCCAACTCTTCCGACTGTATGCACACTCCCTTTTTGAGGCCAAGCTCCTTCCACCTGTACCTGTGGCCAGAGAGTTATTCCCTGCCCCTGCAGAGCCCCTCAGCCAACTTACTGAGAGGACATGCTGTCTGATTGCCCCAGCAACCTTGCCCTTTGGGTGGGAAAACTGAAGTAAGTATTCCATGCTGTTTCCCAGAATTCCTCATGGGGTTAAGCACCAATTGCCGTGAGTGGTAACTGGCGTAATAACGTTTGTTACTGGCATTCTTTCTATCTCTGGCTCGTTTCCCCATTCTTCTACTGGTATTTTCTGGAAGCATCTCTGAAATCAGGATTTAAGAGCAAATTGTCTTTGTTTGGTTTTCCCGGAAGCAGACCCTGAGACAGGATAGGTAGTCAAGGAAGTGAGCATGTTCTCAGAACACAGCAAGTGTGGTGGTGCCCATACAGTCAGCACAATAAACCTCAGCATTCGCATTGTAATGAGCTCATTCAAGCAAAGCTATCTGCAGTAGGGACTTTCCCCTCTAGAAAGCATGCACATTTTGATTTTACCTATCCTCATACTGGCCCCTTTGCTCATTATATAAGAGTGAAAAAAAAACCACACCCCTAGGTAGAAATGTAAGATGCTAATGAGACATGCAATATATGAAAAAGCACGCATAGCTACTACACATGTGCACCCAGAGGCCCACTCAGAGCCTGCTTCCTAATAACAGTTCTTCCCACCTCCTTATGAATTATCATGTAAGTCTCCCATAATGGGAGTCTTCCTAGTGCCGGTCTTGGCTGTCTCATCCTTACAAGAAGCCCACCCTGAATGCTCTCTCTCTCTCTCATGGTGTCCTGTCTATTCTGCACCTAACTTACAAGATATTCTTCTTGTTTTGCAATACATTGTTCGATGCTATACCCCCTTTGCTGTGTGTCTGTCTAAATTATTTTAAACTCAGAAGACAAGAACCGAGGTCTCACATCAGCCATCATCGAGCCAGAGTAGACCCCAAAAGAGGAAAGTAAGACAAGAATGAGGGTCATGATGGGGAGAAGGAAGTTTTGGAGAGGCCCCTCACTTGACTTTGGCAGCTTCTGGAAGATGCTGCAGCTCTGAAGGCATGTTCAGAATATCAGGAAAATGCTTCTCCAGGATCATGATCAGGTAATGGAGCAGAGAGATGTTTCTGTGGACGAAAGTCAGGTCAGTGGTAAGTGACAGAGGAAACTGGGCACAAGGGTCAGAGGGAAACTAGGATGGGGTGTTAAGAGAAAGGGGTGATGAGTCTTAGGATGTGCCCGTCCTAATAAAGGGAGGATGTGAGAGGCCAGGGTAGGGTGAGATAGAGGCCAAGGAAGTGGCCAGGAAGGGAGGTCCTCACCTGTCGATGCTGGACTTGGTGTCAGCAATCTTGTTGAGGCTGGCCACTCGGAACCCGTAGGCACCCCCACGCTGCCCTTTGTTCATGAAGTTGCCTATGGCTAGGATGACCTCTAGCATCTGCCTTAGACGCTTGCTGCGGACCAGCTCCCGGGAGGCCAACAGGATGGCTGGGAGAGGAAGCACAGGTCAGAGCCCTGCATGGGCTAGGCAGGGCAGTGGTTCCCATTGCACCCCAGGAAGATGCCACCACAAAGTTCAGAAAAGGGGCTGTCAAATGTCTTCAACTCTCAGTGAGGCAGAGATTATACCCACTGCTCAGCAGACCCATCAATTTCACATTCACCCACCTCCAGGGGAAGCAGACACTTTCACTAAGGCCAATTCACCAGACACCCCATTTGTAGGACATGCCAACTCTTCCCAAGAAGATAATATCAGAAGATCTTTTCTTACATGTACTTAAAGATTATTAAGAAGGCCGGGTGCAGTGGCTCACGCCTGTAATCCCAGCACTTTGGGAGGCTGAGGCAGGGAGATCGCTTGAGGTCAGGAGTTCGAGACCAGCCTGGCCAACATGGTGAAACCCTGTCTCTACTAAAAATACAAAAAATTAGTCGGGTGTGGTGGCACGTGCCTATAATCCCAGCTGCTTGGGAAGCTGAAGCAAAAGTGTCACTTGAACCCAAGAGGCTGAGGCTGCAGTGAGCCAAGACTGTGTCACTGCACTCCAGCCTGGGCAACAGCATGAGAAAAAAAGATTATTCAGATATTCTTTCCATGAATATACTCATAAATATGACACTTTTACTTTTCTAAACCTAGCACTTAACTTCAGTATTTTACCTATTATGGGATTGCTTCTGCCTGTCTTGAAATGCTACATTCTATTGGTTTTTTGGAAAGAAAAAAAAAATTCATCAACTAAAGAACATGTCCTCGATTATAATATTCTATTATTTTTGTTCTATAAAATAATGGCATGCTTTTCAGTTGATAGTGTCTAAGATTTGATGAAATAAGCTACTTGACGTACTGTTGAATGTCATTTTTAAGATTTTTCCAACCTTTGGGCATCTTAACCATTTTCCCCCAATGCTCTAAATGATATCTTTGCTAGAAATACAAACTAAGCTAACAGTAACCAAAACTTCAATAATTCACTCTGCTGTGTGCGCTCTGGCCCTTCCTCAGCTATGATGTCTTTATGGTGGGTGCGCAGAAGGGGGACACAAATCCTGAGACTTTCTCTACTAGTTACAGAATATGATTTTTGAATATTCAGTGTGGCAACAAAAAGACCAGATTATCCTGTGATCTATGGCTTATGCCAAACTGAACATGCTTTAAGATGCTGCTAGGAAGATAAAATGAAAATGACTTGGCTAAAAGTTTGTAGAAAGCTTTGAACACAGTTAGAAATAAGTAACTGTTAAAAAGAAGCTGTACCAGCACTTTTGGAGGCTGAGGCAGGCGGATCACCCGAGGTCAGGAGTTTGAGACCAGCCTGGCCAACATGGCGAAACCCTGTCTCTACTGAAAATACAAAAATTAGCCGAGTGTGGTGGCACACGCCTATGTAACCCCAGTTACTCAGGAAGCTGAGACGGGAGAATTGCTTGAACCCGGGAGATAGAGGTTGCAGGGAGCCGAGATCACACCACTGCACTCCAGCCTGGGCAACAGAGTGAGACCCCATCTCAAAAAAAAAATTGTAAAAATAAATAGTAAGGTTTGTCAGTAGCTTTTAAGTTGAACACGTACATACTCTATAACCTAAAAGCCACATTATTCTTGGTGAGTATTTGGGTTGTTTCTAGGTTTTTTAAATTCCAAATCAAATGGGTAAATTATGGTGTATTCATATAATGGAATACAATGCAGAACTGAAAATGAATAACCCACTGCTACACGTAACACTAGGGACAACTCACAACCATAATGTTGGACAGAAGTTACCAGCATAAAATTATTCATACTCTATTATTCCATTCATATAAAGTTCAAAACAGGCCAGACACGGTGGCTCATGCTTACAATCCCAGCACTTTGGGAGGCCGAGGTGGGCAGATCACTTGAGCCCAGGAGTTTGAGACTAGCCTAGGCAACGTGGTAAAACCCTCTCTCTACAAAAATACAAAAATTAGCCAGGCTGGCAGCATGTCCCTGTAGTGCCAGCTACTTGGGAGGCTGAGGTGGGAGGATACCTTGAGCCCAGGAGGCAGAGGTTGCAGTGAGCCAAGATCACACCACTGCCCTCCAGTCTGGGTGACACGGCAGGACCCTGTCTCAAAAAAAAAATAAGTAAAAATTTAAAAAATAAAGTTTAAAACCGCTAAAACTAATCTAGCAGTCACGATGGGTTTGACCTTCAGAGAGGAGGGAAGGGGTAAAGTTTGGCGGGGGGACATGAAGAAGGCTGCGGGGGGTTGGAAGCTGTTATTTCTTGACCTGGGTATTGATTACACATGTGGTTCCCTTTTTTAATTCCTCAAGTAAGACTCTTAGGATTTGTGTACTTTTCCATATGCATGTTATGTTTCAAAAAAAGTTTATTTAAAAAGAATACTTAGGAAAGTTTTTGGCAATTTATATTGGTTGGGATGTTTTTTCTAAGGTTTATATGCTATTTGGAAAATTTGCAAAGGAATCCTCCTAAAAATGCTAAAATGTTGGCAAAACAGAAAATGACAAGAGTTCAAAGGAAATCAGTGTAAATGGGAAAACGCCCAGATGCAGTTCTGACATTTTAGATATATTCACAAGAATAATATATTCATGAATATATTCATAAGAATATTACATTTGCAACCATATTCATCTTGACTACATTTGGTGAATGTATTTATAATAAGAATCGGTAAATGTGGTGTATTCAGCAATAAATATATTCATAAGAAGAACATATTCAAGAATTATAAGTTCATGAATATATTCATAGAAGAACTGGAAAATTTGTCAAATTTGGTGAACTGGCTTTTGGCAAATGGACTCAGAGCCCTTGCTGGGGTTAGGAGGGCAGGTGTCAACAGCTCTTCACCTAGCTGGGATAGGCTAAATCTTAGCTCTTCCAGGAATACTTCCTGGGAGAACCGGAAGGAAGAATAAGAATCCCATCTTTGCACACTCCTCTTTTCTCCACCTACAGTCACACACACTGATCTGATTCTATAACACACAACTTCAGGCATCTCTTTCCTACCTAGCTCTTAGAGGAAAGAGACCTGTGTCTGGTCTATACAAGGACAGCAGCCATTGCTATACAGAGCAATTATTATAGAGCAGAGCGGTAGAAGAGTAGCTTTCCGCAGCAGATCTTGCTATCCCAAACACATCTTACTTGGCTTAGCTTGATATCAAAGGGAGACTCTTTCCTGAGTATCCACTGACTCTTTTTTTTTTTTTTTTTTTCCTTTTTTGAGACAGAGTCTTGCTCTGTCACCCAGGCTGGAGTGCAGTGGTGCCATGTCGGCTCACTGAAAGCTCCGCCTCCTGGGTTCATGCTGTTCTCCTGCCTCAGCCTCCCCAGTAGCTGGGACTACAGGCACCCACCACCATGCCCGGCTAATTTTTTTATATTTTTTAGTTGTGACAGGGTTTCACCGTATTAGCCAAAGTGGTCTCAATCTCCTGACCTTATGATCCGCCCACCTTGGCCTCCCAAAGTGCTGGGATTACAGGTGTGAGCCACCGTACCTGGCCTCCACTGACTAATTCTTAGGCTCCTGGGAGCAGGAAACTGTGTGAGATTAAACCTTTCTGGTGGCTAAGCTACTCTGGTTCTGAATCTCCAAATGGCAATGGCTCATGTTTGTTCCACTGACCCAAGATATACAAATAGTTGTGCACACATGTCTTGCACTGAACCCCATATTTGTGCTGCATGCTCCAAAGGCAGTCTGCAGCAGGATGAAAGAAAGCTGTGAAGAAGATAAGGATTCACCCATCACCAGGGCAGGAGATATGGCCAGACCTTGGAAATGGAGAGTCACTGCTGTTATCTATGCTTACCACCTGTAGGCCCCTTGCTGTGTGTGTGTATGCGTGTGTGTGTAGTGTGAGGGGCAACGAGATCTGATTACAGAAAGTGTCTGGCTTAACTCTACGTGTTCCACCCTATCTAAAAACTCTCCCTGAAGCATGTCAATGGATTTCAGGAAGGGCTACTCTCTGGACTGGGCATCTCAGGGAGTACTGACTGGCCCAGGTGTCCAGCAGGGGGTGCCCATGTTCTGTTCTGCCCCCAGCCTGGTAACCTCAACATCCTGGTAACAGGCTTTCTTGCTCCCCTCTTCCGACCCTGTCCTCTCCACAGATGAGCCTCCCAGCCTCTCCTGCTTATTGCCTCCTGGGTCCACATGTCTGCCCACCATCCTGACCTCCTGCCTCTCCCAACAACTCCACACCCCTCCCTACTCTGCCATCAGCACAGGCAGCCCCTGGGAAGTACTAGAGGACAAGAGGGAAGGGACTGATTTTGAAGATCAGCCATCTGCATTCCTACCCTGGTTCCACCACTCACCAGTGTCATAGCCTCGGGACATTAACATAGCCCCACTTTAGAGAGGAGAGAATGGAGGCACACGGAAGTTAATAATAGCACCCACCGGTGGGATTCCTGTGATGACCAAATGAGGACCAACCAAGCAGAGTGCTTCACACAGTGCTTGGCGCGTGGTTCTCATTGAACTACAAATTTCTCATCTGGAAATGGCCTGTGTTGGAGGTGTTCCCTGACTCAGAAAATCAGATGCCTCTAGAAATCAGCTTGTGCAGTTTCCTACTTTCTGAATGGCTCACACTTAAACTCACATGCTCAGAAGTCTTCTATGAGCCTAGTACCTCTCAAGTAGGGTAAAGACCGATGAGCTCAGTCCCAGCCAGGCATTGTTGTAGGTGTGGCTATTATTATCTTTTCTACCTTTCCATCCCATGCTGGGGCAGATGTCAATAGATGCCCCACCTTGGAGAGCTTGCATGCTGAGGCATAAGGAACATGTCACAAGGTTGGTGCATGTGCTAATGTAAGAAAGTGCATATTTTTATAATCATTTTACATTTTGTCTTTGAGGTTTTGCTTTTGCTTTGGGGTTGAGAATAAGAAAGGGGTTTCCCTCTGCCTCTGTTCACTGGCTCCCACCCACCCTCCCTTTCTCAGATGCCTCTCCACTCTAAGCCTCCTGCAACCCTCAGCCCTACCTTCCACTTTGGGCTTTGCCTCAGCCAGCCGCTCCTGGAATTTCTTCTTGAAGAAGAGGGCTTGCAGTCGCTGCTGGTAGTGGTCAATCCTGTAGACAAGGTGAGCCATGTCTTGAGGTATCCCACCCCTACCCAGGCCAGCCCCAGCTCCAGGAGCCAGCTCCAGCCTCCTCTCGAGCCTGCCCACCTCCGTCCCCTTCCTCTTGGCAGAACCCCACCTGCCCCAATCCCAGCCCCACCTGCCAAAACCCCACCTGCTCGAATCCCCGCCACGCCCACGGCCCCAACCTGCTCATTTCATAGAGGAAGCGGTCAGCGCGGGCCATCCGCTCGATCTCATGCTTGTGCTCCTCCAGGAGGTCAATGTCGCTCTTCTCCGGGATGAACTTGAGGAGCTGCAAAGAGCAGGCGCAAGTCACACAAGCAACTGGTGAGCAGCAGACATGGGGTGCGGGGTGTGAGAAGCACTTGACTCAGGTCAAGATGGGGAGGGTGCCTTGAAAAAGAGAGACACCCTCGTGTGGACAGATTTGTTTCATCTGCCTGAAGGGGATGACAGGGCACCCAGCTCTGAAATTCTTTTTTCTTTTTTAAAATTCAGATGTAACTGATATACAGTATTTCTTTCTTTTTTTTTAAAGATAGGGTCTCACTCTGTCCCTCAGGCTAGAATGCAGTGGTATAATCATAGCTCACTGTAGCCATGACCTGCTGGGCTCAAGCAGTCCTCCCACCTCAGGTCCTGAGTACCTGGGAATATAGGCGTGCAGCACATACTGGGTTAATTTTTTTTTATTTTTTATTTTGTAAAGACAGGATCTCACTATGTAGCCCTGGCTGGTCTTCACCTCGTGAGCTCAAGCGATCGTGTCACTTCAGCCTCCAAAAGTGCTGAGATTACAGGTAGGAGACACCACGTCTGGCCTAAAGTACCCTATTCTTCAATGTACAGCTCAATGGTTTGTCTTTCCTTTTAAACAAACTTGAGGTATAATTTACATAAAATAAAATGCACCCATTTTAAATGTGCAGTTCAGTGATTTTTGTCAAATCTCCATCCATTGAATCATTCAGATTAAGATAGAGAACATTTCCATCCCCCAGGAAAGTTATTTTGCATCACTTCAGTAAGCTGTTCAAGTGAATATAGGCTCTCAGCTGAATTCTAGGACGTTAACCAGATTTGCCTGTCCTTGAACTCATGCTGTATGCTCTCTTTTATGTCTGGCTTCTCCCCAGCATAATGCCTAAGGTTCATCCATGTCATGGTCGTTTGTTTATTGCTGAGGATTCTACTGTATGAATATACCACAGTCTACTTATTCACTTTCCTATTGATGGAGAGTTGGGTTGTTCACAGTTTGGGGGATTTATAAATAAAGGTGCTATAAATAGAGTTGGCCCCTGAACAACACAGGGTTGAACTATGCAGGACCACTTGTATGTGGATTTTCTTCCGCCTCTGCCGTCCCTGAGACAGCAAGACCAACCACTCCTCTTCCTCCTCCTCAGCCTGACGACAATGAGGATGAAGACTTTTATGATGATCCACCTCCACCAAATGAACAATATATGTATTTTCTCCTTTTAATGATTTTCTTTTTTCTTTTTTTTTTTTTTTTTTTGACAGTCTCACTCTGTTGCATAGGCTGGTGTGCAGTGGTGCTATCTCAGCTCACTGTAACCTCTGCCTCCTGGGTTCAAGCAATTCTCCTGCCTCAGCCTCCCAAGTAGCTGGGACTACAGGCAACGCGCCATCACGCCTGGCTAATTTTTGTATTTTTAGTAGAGATGGGGTCTTACCATACTGACCAAGCTGGTCTTGAACTCCTGACCTCAACTAATTTGTCCTCCTTGGCCTCCCAAAGTGCTAGGATTAAGGCATGAGCCACCATGCCCGGCCTTCCTTCTAATGATTTTCTTCATAACATTTTCTTTTCTCTAGCTTACTTTGTTGTAAAAATACAGCATATAATACATATAACATAAAAATATGTGTTAATTGGTTGTTTATCTTATCAGTAAGGCTTCTGGTCAACAGTAGGCAATTAGTGGCTAAGTTGTTGGGAAGTCAAAAGTTATATGTGGATTTTTGACTGCACGGAAAGTCAATGCCTCCAGCCCCCACATTATTGAAGGTCAACTATATTCTTGTGTATTTCTTTTAGTCAGTATTTGTACTCGTTTCCCTGGAGTTACACCTGAGAGCGGGATTACTAGGCAATAGGGTGGGTGTATGTTTAGCTGTACAGTGCACTTCCAAGTCGTTTTCCAAAATAATTGTGCCACATGAGCATTCCAATTTCTTCACATCCTCATCAGCACATGGCATTGTCAGTCTTTTTAATTTTAGCTACTCTGGTGGGTGTGTGGTGCCCCCTTACTGTGGCTGACTATATTTCTCTGACAACTAATCATATTGAACACCTTTTCATATGCTTATTGTCTATTTGGAAATCCTCTTTCATGAAGCGCCCAAGTCTTTTTCTCATTCTTAAGTTGATTTCTTCATCATTTTCTCATTGATTTGTAGAGTTCTGTTCTGAATATGATCTTTGTTATACGTATGTATAGCAAATCTCTTCTAAGGTTTGTCTTCTCTTTTCACTCAGTAACCGTGCCCTTTGATGAACAGAAGTTCTTAATTGTAATGAAGTCCAACTGATGATGTTCTCGTGTGTGTGTCTTTCCCAAAGGATCCCCCCCCAAAAAAAAAAAAAAAACTCAGGGGGAAGAGATTTGGGGAAGATACCACTATTCCTCATCTGACTTTGCCTTGGGAGCCATGGGAGAATGACTCCTGGAGAACACGCAACCTTTTCCAGCTTTCCCCCAGAAGGGCTGGCCCAGGGAGGTTTCTATAAACCTTCCCCCTAACTCTTCCAGCCTGATCTCCTTGACCCAAAAATCGTAGCCTCTCTGGGGGCTGTTGGGAAGGGGCATGGCTGCCCCCTGGGTTCAGTTCCCCTTCCTTCCCACGAGGGTCCTCACCTGCTCCAGCATGTCCTTAGCGAGGTCCTCCTGCTCATCCATCTTCAAGATGGCCTGCCGGATCTCCTCGTTAGAAAGCTTCAACCTAAGGCAAAACCCCACCTCAGTCCAGGACAGCCTTCAAACCTTCTTCTCCAAAAGGTACCACTTTGCCTTCCCTCATTCCCTAACATGGACTTGGGAATGTATTTAATAGTACTCCCCCCTCACCTCCTCTACAAAGCCTTCTTAGACTAAACGAGTATGATTCAGTCCATAAACTTGATAATGAGCATTTTAGTGTCAAAATAGAGACGTGAGGGTCTCTGTTCTCTTGATAATCCATCAGAGCTGATAGGGGCCATTTGGGAGTAAAAGAGATGTCTTCAATGTAGACCAAAGGGACAGGGCAACGAGTTCCTGATCCTTTTCCTCCTCCTCATGCTTAAAAAATGCACAGCATCTCCACGGGAGGACAGGATTATCGGCAAGCCACTAAGAGGGCAATTTCCTGCTGCCTTCGTTCTCAGAACACAGAATCGCTCTCAGTCTTCTGACAGCGCCTCAGCTCCCACACAGCTGTCCCAATCAGTCTTGCCGTCTGGGAGATGGAGAAGCCACACAGCCCCATAGCCCTTCCCTATCCCCTCCACATGCACCCCCATTGGGAACCCTGGGGATTCAGAACTCTTTCCACCATCCAGTGGGGGAAACTGAGGCCGGGGGGCTTGTGAGAGGAAAGGGGGGAGGATGTCTCAGAGGCAGCCGGGGCAGCACTAAGAATAGTATGGGAGGTGGTGCCCTCTGACCCTGGCTCAGGCAGGAGGCCCCGGTACAGAAGCTGTGCTGTTAGCGCAGATACTGCCCTGTTTGTTCTGCAGCCGCGGGAAATGCTTAGGGGCTGAGATCATGCTGCTCAATGGCCTGAGCCAAGCGAGGCCCTCCGTGGGCTTAGAGCAACTCAGCCGCCAGATGCTGACCAGGCTGGGCAAGGGCCTCGTGACTGGGCAGTTTCCTGCCTGCAGAGCCCCGAACTGCTGCTCAAGGCAGGTTCCCAGGAGACAGTTCTAGATCAATGCCCTCCCCTCCCAGGGGACAGCAGAGAGGGAGAGGCCCAAGACTGCCATCACTCCATTCCTCCACCCCCTTTGTGCCCCAGGCATTCAACTCAACCACCTTCTTTTGCACATACTTGGAAAGAAGGATGATGCAGTTTTGGGCCCTCCGGCCGTCAATGACCGACAGCTCTTTGACCTTGCGGGAAGCCAGGTAGATGTCCTCGGTGGAGCCCAGCTCTTTCTGCAACCAACAAGTCAAGTGGACGGTTGAGGTGTGTGTTCCCTAATCCTCCTCTTACCCACCCCGCAACAGCCACCTCCTACCAATCCAGGAATGCTCCTGGCGTGAGGGGAAGGGGGAAGAAAAAGACAGGAGAGAGAGGAGGGGGGCTAATGGCTAGCTTTAAGAGAAGGTACCTGGGACTTTTCCATAGCCTCCAATGGGTTGGGGAAGGACACTGAGGAGTCCCCCAACCTTTCTTTAAGAAATTATCCATTCTGGACAACGAGGGAAGGGGCTGTGCCAGCGGGTCAGGGCATGACTGATCCCTGTGGCTTTGGGCAATGTGACGTAACCTACCGTGTCTCCCACAGAATCAACTCCCACTCCCACTGCCCAACCCAGAGGCCTTCCTCAGGCTTATGCTGAGAAGCTGGTTGCAAAGCCCCAGAGGGAACAGTTACTGACTCCTAGGGACTTTAGGCACAGCCCAAGGTGCCCAGGTGGAGAGCATCCACAAGTTCAGAGGTATGGAAACTGAGGCAGAACTCTCTCCTCTGAGTCCCAGCAGGCAGGTTCCAGAGAAATCATTGATCCCGCCCCACTCCTTCTCTTGGGCCCCTGGTGAGGTAGACAGGAGGCTGTCTAGTGTGCTGTGCTTCCTCCGGGAGCTTCAGGGGCCACCTTGCATGGTTATCTGTGTGAACTGTGTAGTGCCTACCCTGTGTGTCCTTACAGGAAAGGCTCTCCTTTGGCCTGGTGGGTAAGACAGTAGACCTAGAAGCCTTCTCCTCATTCCAGGAGACATTGACCTCCACTGCTGCCAGGGGTCTATTTGATTACCTCCCTCTGCTGCATTTCCTCTTTCTCTTTGGGGGCCCTCTCCCATACCACCCTGTATGAATGGGGGATAAGGTAGAAGGTGGAATGGACAAGTCCTCTCTGTCTGGCCCAGTACAGAGCAGCAGCCCAGGACAGCAGTTAAAAGTTGGAGTGGTCAGAGCCCCGAGAGTAACTCACCTGCTGAGAAGGATTAGTTATCAGCTCCTAGGCGGCAGCCACAGCCAACAGAGAATTAAACATGCACAACATTAGCCAAGACATTTGGGGACCCAGAAATAGCATGACAGACAGGGGGATCCCTCAGCATCTACACTGTCCACTTTGTCCCAGTGAGACCCATGGTTGGAGACAGGCACCCGTAAGCGGCACCAGGCAGGAGCTGCTTCTAGCAGACACGCACTCACGGAGAAGCCAAACGAAGCGGAGATCAGGCAGCTCCTCCCATCTGCCCGGTGGGACCACCACTCCCCAGTCAGGGCAGACCAAAGCCCTGAGTTCTCCCAGCCCAGGCTTTGCTGCCTGTTCTTCCTTTTCCTCTGCTGAAAATGTGCAGAGAGGGTAGAGGACATTCCTCCATCCTGGGATGAGTTCACCTTTCTAAATAGGGGAGGAGTCACAAATGAACTCTATCTGGAAGCTCCAGAAAGTTGTGTTTATTGAGGCAGAAGAAAGCAAGTGTCCTTGAATTTGCTCATTGTCCCTCATCTGTCCTTTGATGTACAATGGGAACTGAAGAGGCACAGCCCACACCTCTGTTCTCCCTGACACCGATGGAGTGGAAGCTACCAACTCAAAACCCGCATGGGGCATAGAGAAGACCATGACTCCCAGGACCTCCCCCGCCCCACAACCAGCTGTGAGAGGAGGAAACAAGGTTCATACGGCCTCCGGGATCTCTCCAGTCCTGCTGCTGGGATTTCAGTCCCAGAGACTGGATGGCCCACTGAGTGAGGGGAGGCAGGTGATTGCACTGTGTGGGCTCAGCGAGGTGAGAGGGACAGGACAGGAGGCCTTTCAGTCTTAAATCTTCTCAACTCACCAAGCTGGGATGCCCCAGACCCAGTTTGTCCAAAACCCATAACCTTTCCTGACTGGCCCCATCCCAGCCTCACTTCAGGGCCCTGGAGCATGGGTAGGCTGGGCCAGAGCCCTGTCCTGCAGAAAGACTCTCAAACGAGGAGGTGGCCTGCGATCACCAAGCCTGGTACGCTTGCCACACACTCCTCTGTCCTCAGCCCCACTTGTGGAGAATTGGCTCCCAGGAGCCAGTGCTCATAAGAGTTCCTTCCAGCTCCAGCAGCCTTAGCTGCCAGCCTGACATGGGCATGGGGTTAAAAATGTCTCCTGGAATTAGGAGTAGAGAATCTGATGCTGTGGGCACCCACATTTAAACAAACAATCATCTGGCCAGAGCCCTAGGAGCGGCTGCATGTGTCCTCGGTCATCCACAGATCGGGGCTGGGCAGAAAGTGAGCTAGGGCACCCTCTCCAGCTCAGTGGGGAGCCAGGCCACAACAGCCAGCCATTGCCAGGACCCACTCATTGGCACCGGGGAAACCCTCGAGACTGAGGTCCTAGGCTAAGTAGAGAAAACAAGGAAGATAGTAGCCCAGCCCCAAGAGGGATCAGTCCCTCTGGGGCGGGGCCAGAGAGAAAGCAATTCCCTGAGGCTTCTAAGCTGGTCACTCTCTAAATTGACTTAGAGGGAAGGCCCCCCGCTGTGCCTAGTTACCATGCGGATTCCTGGGCCCCAGCTCATCTCCTGAATCACATTCATTTGAGGGTGAGGTCTGAGAAGCAACCCTTTTGGCAGTCCCCACAGGTACTCGGCACAGTTTGAGATTCCCACCTCAGGAACGCCCTGCGTTCTGGCAGCAACTCACCCCATACTTTCTCTGTGAGTGGAGGACCAGACTTGCTGGCAGCCACCTGTACAGAGAGCCTTGAGAGCAATATCCAAGGCCTCCCCAAGCCCAGCCCCAGACCCCTGAGTGACGTGGAGCAGCACCTTCTGCCTTCCTTGCAAGGCAACATCCCCTGCTCGGTCTCATAGAGGTGTTAACAGACAGAATGTGGTGGAAAAGTGGTTTGAGAAGTGATTATGCCTTCTAAGCCTAGTCCCTGAATCCTGGGCCAGAAAGAGCAAGGGTTCACAGTGGTCAGGCCTTGTGACTCTACCTCCGATGCTCCAGGATGGAAGAGAGAAATGGACAAAACACCGTGTCAATACTTGGTGTATAAATATGAACCATAATACAAGGATGTTTCCCCCTATAGCCTGTGCACCTCTACTTCATACCTACATCCTCGGCAAGAATAAAATCATCACCTCATAAAGAATAAAATCATTCAGTATACATGAGAGGAAGGAAGGGGAGGAGGAAGGGAAGGAAGGCAAGGCAAGGCAAGGCAGGCAGAAAGAAAACAAGCTGAGGTTTGGCTTCAAGGGTATGGTATATGGAAGTTAAAACCCAAGAGGCCAGAGGGTGTAGGCTCTTACCTGGTGCCTTTGATAGGCTGAAAACATCTTTTCAAAATCCTCTAGGTCCAGAATCCGAAATACCTGCATGTCATCAATCTCATTCCATACGGTGCCAGGGACACGCTCCTAAGATTCAGGGTAAGGAGAAGACCCCACGGTTGGCCCAACTCCGTCATGGAGATGCCCCATGCCTCCCTAACCGCACTTATCTCCCAACTGCACATACTACAACGACCAGGACTTCAGACCTTCAGAAGGGAGTCGGTTGCTCCCCTCAACTTCCAACTTTCTTGAATACTCTGCTCCAGGGTAGAGGCCAGAGACAACCCCCTTCTCCCTTGTGCATGGAGCCACATGTAAGCATGTTCTAGAAATCACTGGGGGTGCTGGGGGGATGGGTAGGCAGTAGGAAAGGGGGTGCACTTCACTTTTTCCAAAAGCAAAGTCAGAAGCTGCGCTCTCAGGGTACTTCACACAGGCCCACTCCCCCTAAAGGGCAGGGTGCCTGGGAGTCACTCCTGTCCTTGGCTGCCATCATTGGAAGATTAAAGCCATACGTATTTGTGATCCTCAAAGCTGCAGCACTGACTGTATTTATGTATCTCAGATGGTTGTTTTCTTTCCCAAGGGTCTTCTTCCCACTTTCCCAGATTCTCAAAGTGGACAAATACCAAAGTTTGGGACCTGGTACCTGTAGTGACACTGCTGAGACCAGCAAGACTCTGCTACAATTTCCCTTTGGGCAGACCCAGGGAGGGTGTTACTATCCTTTACAACAGGGTTTTACATTCCAAGATCTCTCCATTTAGGCCTTACCCCATCCCTGTGTAGGACCTTTGCACTAGGGTCTGGAAAGGAGCTGTTAGCCAAGCCAAAAGAAAAAAGAAAAAAAAAACCCTGGAAGTCTCGTAGCACCCTGCTGATGGCCCAGAGCACAGCCAGCCAAGCTCCTGACAGGGCGTTCCAACCCTCCCCTCCCAGGAATCCCCACCTCATCTAGAGCTTTGCTGTCCTTCAGCACAGAATCTCTCTGCCTTCCTCTACCTAGAGCACAGCGGGGAACCTCGTTTAATGCCTCCTCTTCCTCTTTCTCCCTACAACTCCCCCTCAGAAAGACTTGGAGAGAGAAACATACCTTTCACTCACTGTTATTTTCTTAAACTCTGGAAAGGGGAGGCTAGGCCAGAGTCAGGGGGTGGGGGCATTCCTGTGGCCTTCTGAAGGCCAGGGACCCTCTCGTGGAATGCGGCTGGGAAGCTTGGAGCAGCAAGGGATACAGGCAGCTGGCCAACCCCAACACAGATGCATTCTTTTCATGGCAGAAACCACCGCTGTGTATGAGTGTGTATGTGTGTGAGCGTGTGTGTGCTCACAGAAGCACGCGTGGGGTAGGGGAAGGGACTACGAGAGGAGTCGGGCTTCTGGAAAGGGGTGTGTGTGGGAGGCAAAGAGAAGATGAGAAGGGAATGGAATCAGGGAAGGCAGAGACAGAGCCGGCTGAAGCAGCGTGCAGCCGGAGTCTAATCTGCAGGGAGGCCTCCCTCTGCAGCTAGGACCAGGGTGGAGGTAGGGGAGAGAGAAGCCTGCAAGAGTAAAGCTTCCTATCCTTCTCTATTCTTGGTGAGGCTGGGGTAAGAAGAAACGGGCTGGAGAGAGAAAGCTGGCTGTTCCACACTGGGAAGAATTTCCCGTGAGACAGCCGACTAAGCTCAGGCGCGCTCTCTCTCTCTCTCTCACTTCTTCCCAAACACTGCCCAGCCCACCCCCAGCTTCTAGCATCTGCCAGAAGGACTTGAGGCTCTTCGAGGTGGTATAACTGAGGTCCGGAACCAGAAAGCGGTAAGTCTGTTCCTAACATTCCCTACGTGTTGACACTCACCACGTTGCCCTGATATGCCCACCTTGCATAATTCTCGAATTTAATTTTCTCACCACTCTGGCCAAGAGCCCATCATCTCTAGTCTAGACTCCTGGGACTTCTGCCCGCTGGAGATATCCTTCACATGCCAGGGAAAGCTTTCTCAAAAGTATGTTTCGTTATGTTTCCCCCGTGGTGCACTGCCTTTGGGGTCAGGCAGGCCTAGCCTGCTGACACTCCCGGCCCTGCCATTTTGTGGGACTGTGGGAAGATGGAGGGATGAGATTTTTCTCCCATGTCACATAAAAGGAAACTGAGTCTCCATCATGTTTTTTTACCTCACCAAGTTGATGTGAGAATTAAGTGAGATAACATACTTCCAACATACCTGGTAGGGCCACTAATAATAACCTATTTTATGAAGACTTTCTATATGCCAGTCACTGTTCCAAGTACTTTGTATGTAGGAAGTCAATTAATCCTCACAGCAATCTCCTTTTTTTTTCAAGCCGGAGTGTTGCTCTGTTGCCCAGGCTGGAGTGCAGCATGTAGCAGCGCAATCTTGGCTCACTACAACCTCCGCCCCCCAGGTTTAATTATCCTGCCTCAGCCTCCAGAGGAGCTGGGATTACAGGCATGCGCCACCACACCTGGCTAATTTTTGTATTTTTAGTAGAGACGGGGTTTCACCATGTTGGCAAGGCTGGTTTCAAACTCCTGACCTTGTGATCTGCCCGCCTTGGCCTCCCCAAATGCTGGGATTACAGGTGTGAGCCACTGCATGGCTGCAATCTCTTGAGATGGACATTATTATTGCCCCATTTACAGATCAGGAACCTGAAGCTCAAATGATTCCATAACCTGCCCCTGTCACACAATTAAAAGCTTGGGATTGGGGTGATAAGTTCTCAAAATGTTATTTAGAAGCCTTTCACCTTTCCCTACTTCTCCAAATGTCCCCCACTGTCTATTCCAACAAACCCACACTCTCCAGTATAGAAATGAAACTCTGGCCTGCTCTGGGCCCCTGGGGAATCTGTGCAGACTTCACTGTTACTGGACCCAGAGAAACTCCTGAGCACACAGCTTCATATGATGAAAATGTTGCAAAAATATTACTTGCTTTGGCTGTCCTTCCTTCATCATTGATGTGCATGATAACTTTTTATTACATCTTTAAAATCTTACATTATAAATTGTGACAATAGGAGACAAAACGTTATTTCTCTTTTTACCACAATACAAAATGTTATTTTCTGATGGTGAACAATGAACCTTTCTGCACAGCCTGCAGCCTTTGGTTCTGCAGAGCAGTTGGCCTACTCATGTGCAGTTTGTCTTTCTGGCTCACCTCATGGCCACAGAGCACCCACAGGGTACAACTGTGCAGTGCACCTGTCACCAACCTCAACAATCTTGCTTTGAATGCTGCTAACAGGTGGCTCTAAAGCTTAAGTAACTCAGATTGGAGATGTTATCAGAGGCCCAGGAAACTACAAATGGGCTGTGTTCACACTTCATCTTTCCACCTAGATTATAAAGCCAGAGGCAGAGGGAATTTTCGAGATCATCTCACACATGAGCAAACTGAGATACAAGTTGAGTGATTTACAGAGGTTGTACGGCTAAAGCCACACCTGGTTTGGTTAGAGCCTCACCCTTAACTCATCCCAGGCTCTCTAGGTGTTTCTTTGAACACGCTTCCTAATTTGGCAGATCCTAAGCTCTGAGAGGACAATGGCATTTTCTTACTATTCATCTACCTGGTCTGCCATTAGGAGAAGAGCCCTAATAGATAGCTGACCACCTACTTAGCAATCTTGCATCTCTTGACTCTGCATTTGAGCTCACTGAAGCTCAGACACAATGGTACAGTTATGAGTTCACCAAGAGCTAGTCCAACAGGCCCATAGGATAAAGTCAGTGTGGAATCCATTCATCCCAGCTTCAAATCCCAGTGAGCCAGCCTAACTGAAACCAGTTACCATGCAGGTGTTTACCTCAAGGACAAAGCTCCTAGTCCTCCTAATAGGACTGCCATTGTGCAGAACCAGAGGCAGGGCTTGGTCCAGGCTGGAACTGGCCTTCGATTGCTAGAGGTCTAATGCAACCAAGGGCATCTCTACTCTATGCTCATGAGAGTCCCACAGAGGAATCGACCCCCACCTGTGGTTCTGGGATTGGTGCTTATTAGTGGATAATACTCATTAGGGTCTCTCACTGCTGGTCCAGACATGAGGCTAGTGTGTGCAGCTTCCCCCAGGAAGATGTCAAAATGGATATGTCTTGCCATCAAACTCTTTAGTCCTTTGTATACATTGCCCTGATCTTTACCAAAACCTAGATGCTGGCCCAAGCTCTTTGCTTATTTTTCCATTCTTTCCTTCAAATGGACCCTGTCCTTGAATTCTACTCAGTGTTTGTCTTGCCTGTGACTCCATTAACCCTGGGCAAACACAAATTCCATTTGTAGACGACTTTGTCAACGTAAGCATTGCCCCATGCCAAGCGTCTCTCCCAGGGTAGGTGTTCTCCCCATGGACCATGAGCTGCCTGGCACAGCAAACCCACTTTTTACATCCACATGACTGCCCTTACCCACCACCAAAGAAAAGACCTGGAGTAGAGATCTGCAAACAAGGGGCAGGCGGTCCCTGAGGCTGACTGCCCTACTGTAGAAGAATGGGCCCGCCAGCCCCTTCCCAGATGCTCACCTCATTCAGCTTCACCCAGTTGAAGGACTTCAGCGGGTGGGAAGGCTGGGGAACACGCTTTTTCCTGAGTGGGACGTCACTGCTGGGGTAGGGGTCCTGAGGGAGGGGCAGGCCCATGCCGAGGCAAGGTGGGGCACCTGGGGGAGTCGGGGGTCCCCCAGGAGGAAGGGGTGGTGGTGGCGGAGGGGGACAACAGGCGAAGGGCAGAGGAGGAGGGGGTGGAGGCAGGTCATTGGTTGTCATTGAGGAAGACAAGGTGAGTGGGCCCCCAGGGGGTGGTGGGGAAGATACAGGGCCTGTCTGTGAGGAAACAGAAAAATTGCAAGGACAAAGCCATTAGCACCAATGCCATTCGGGTCTCCCACCTTGATTCCTCTCCTTACTCCTAGTCGCCTTCTATACTAGACCCCAAATCCTACCCTTACCTTCTACACGCATTTGGCCCCATTTTCTCTCTCTGCATCCAAACATCTAACACACACAAACACACACACAACACCATCCCCACAGACAGACACACAAGTCACACACACAGGCAGTGGACAATCAGAGTCATAGCCATCACAATGCAATTGCAGGATTGATTTTTGCAGTTGTGTAGGTTACTGACTGTACAAGGTCTCCAACTGAGAGACGGAAGTGGATCCAATTCCAGCTGCACTCTGCTGTCCAACGTGTGCTTCCTGGGACAGTGTCACCCGAGGAAGGGACATTATTTTTCTAACTAACACAAAGGTGCCACCTGTACAGCCTCGAGGGTCTCTTCTATCCTGGCCCAAGGTCTCCATCTGTCTTCTCCCTCATGCTGGGCCTTTCCCACACCTGCTCTGGCCACCCTGTCCTGAAGCCCAGGGTCTTGGATCAACTATGTAAAGGGGGAGATGTTTGCGTACTGAGAGTTCGCTGAGCTGGGCTACCAGCTCTGCCACTTGTCCCCGAGCCTGGCGCAGCTCCTGGGACTCCCGGGCCAGCTTGTCCTTCATTTTGTTCAGCGTCCGCATCATCTCTTCCTTCTCCAACGTCTTTGTCTCGCATTCCCGCTCCTTCCTCTCCAGACGGCTCATGAGCTCCATATGTTCTGGAATGGGGGTGGGACAGGAGAGGAAACAGGAGAGAATGTGAGTAATGTGGCCCCTTCCCTGGAAGGACATGGAGTTATGGGCTGGGCAGGGGAAGGGCATGTGGAGTGGACAGCAGGCTTAGGCAGAACCCCTCACCTTTCCGGAACTTCTCTGCCTGGTCTCGCCACTGTTTCACTTCGTTCTCGTTGAGGAGCCTGGCAGGGCATAGAGGGAAGGGGCAATGTGATTGTTGACCATTGACTCACAGCTTCCCAGGAGACACCATCTCTCTACCCTCCAGGTGGGGACCCTGGTCTCCAATCTGTCCAGCCACATCAAGGGGGCTAGGATTTAGACTTCCCGGGTGTCTCTCCAGGTCCCCTGCCCCGTTCACATTATGTGTCTGTGGAGACCGTGAGAGAAAAGCCCTTTAGATACCTTATAACCTGGCCCCTTTGTGATACAGCTGGAGCTACTGAGGCTCAGAGAACAGGGGTAGATTAATTAATGGTAGAACTAGGACTGAACCTCAGGCTCCCAAGAGTTGTATCATGACTTGCACCTCCTTGTAAAAATAGGTTTACCTTTAAAAGAGATCAAAATATTGGCCCTACCACGGTCCAGGTTTCCAAAGACCAATGTGTAAGAGCAAGAGACATCAGCCACACCAGCAATACAGACTGAGTGTGTTCAGGGTGACACAGATGACAGCCTTGTTCATGCCAAGCTCTTGAAACTGTTCAAATTTAGCTTTTACCTTGACACCAAGGCCTAACAGAGGTGAAATCCCAAAGCGAGAGCCCAAGAATCGTTTCCTTTACAAATCTGAGAATGTGGAAGAGTTAGACCCATGACGTTTAGACCCAGGACACAGAGAACAGAGTATGGAGAGGGAGATATTTGGTGAAGATATTTCTTTGAAGAGGGCCACTGCTATTATCCCCAAGATGCTACCTCCTTCATCACCTTCCAGGGAAGGGGTTTCTTTGGGCTCTCTCCTAGAGTTCTGATTCATGTTCCCTGAAGTTGGGAGGGAAGCAGGGTAGACTGGGGCCCTACTTGGAGCCAAGCAAAGCCCTGGGAGCAAAAGAAAGAGAACATTGCTGTGCGGGGCCCTGCCAGCACTCCTAGAGTTTGTTGGCACAAGAGATTGCATGAGGGTTGCCCATGGGTCAGATGTAAGCCTCGTGGAGGAACTGGGGTGCA